TTAACATGGTCCATACCCAAACCTTCTTTCCTGAAGGGTTTAAGCCATTAGTAGTCTTGTCGGGATCATATTGTTGTAGTTCTCTATTGACTTATTAATCTCAGAGCGTGGTAATGCTAAGAGATTCTCTAAGGGATCTATTATATTCCAGACACACTCTTCCTTACTTCCATTGTGCAGTAGCAAATTTCTGCCCAGTAGTCAGGACCAATCACTCCAGTAAGCATAAGAACTTCCTTCTTGCCTATTGATTTAGAGATATGAGGAGCCCAAAGTGACTAGGCACCTGTCTAAACTTCCAGTTCAATGGAATCATTATTGTATCTCAAAACTAGCAGCTTTTTGGGTCCCTCTATAAATGTACCTGAGGAGTACACACAAATGAGGAATATGCTGTCTCCTAAAAAAAAAAAAAAGTCCACTAGGCATTGTGGGCTCTTCTTTGTTGTAAGGGGGACCATATGCAACAACTTATCTTTCACATTAAAAGGGATATCTTGACATATCCCGTGTCACTGGATTTCCTAGAAATTTCACTGAGGTAGATCTCTTGAATTTTTTGTCAGATTTATTTCCTCCCTCTGACACAAATGTCTTACCAATAAGTCTACAGTAGTTTCTACTTCTTGTTTACTAGCTTCTGTCAGCATAATGTCATCAATGTGATGAAACAGTGTGATATCTTGTAGAAGGGAAAGGCAATCAAAATCCCTGTGAACTAAATTATTACATAGGGCTAGAGAGTTGATACCCCTGAAAAAGGATAGTAAAAGTGTATTGATGCCCTTTTCAGCTGAAAGAAAACTGCTGTGGGTGGCTTTATTAACAAAGATGGAGATCAGTAAACAACAAACATTGCTAGATCAATACCTGCATATCAGGTACTAGGGGGTATGTTGATTTGCTCAAGCAATGAAACTATGTCTGGTATAGCAACTCCAACTGAAGTCACCATTTGGTTGAATTTACAGTAATCCACTGTCATTCTCTAAGATCTGTCTTCTGCAGAGACCAAATAGCCAAGTTCAGTGGAACATGGGGGGAATTACCACCACTGCATCTTTCAAGTCCTTGATCGTGGCACTAATTTTTTTAAAGATTTATTTATTTATTTTAAAGGGGGAGGTACAGGGAAGACAATCCTCAAGGAGGCTCTGCCTTCAGTGCAGAACCCAGTGGGGGGCTTGATCCCAGGACTCATGAGATCTTGACCTGAGTGGAAACCAAGAGTCTGTTACCCAACAGACTGAGTCACTTGGATGTCCCCTGGTAACACTAATCTTTGCAACCCCTCCAGGAGTGTGGTATTGTGTTTGGTTTATTATTTCCCTAGATAGAATCCGTTTTAGTGGCTTGACCTCTCCCACCATAATAGCCTCACTCCATAGGCCAGAGAACCTGTGTGGGGATTCTGAAAGCTGCTGAGTATGTCTATTCCAATCATACATTCCAGCATTGGGAAAATAACTACAAGATGAGTTTGGAGGGGCGTCTGGGTGGCTTAGTTGGTTAAGCTTCCAACTTTTGGTATCAGCCCAGGTCATGGTCTCTGGTCATGGGATTGAACACTGTGTCCAGCTCTGTGCTCAATGCAGAGTCTGTTTGTCCCTCTCCCTACCCCTTCCCCCCTTCAAATAATAACAACAACAAAATAAAATGGGTTTGGAGATATCCTGGGACCACTGTGAGGCAGATCTGAGCTAAAACTCCATTTATCACCTAACCTCCATAAGCCCCTACTTTGACTGGCAGATCAACATGACATTTTTTGGGTCTTTTGTAATTAGTGTCAGCTCAGAGTCAGTGTCCAGCAACCCGCTAAAGGGATTTTTTAAAATTTTTATGATTTACCGATCATTTCCTTTTTCCCCAAAGCACAGTTACCCTGGTAAAAGGCCATTGGTCCCTTTGGGGAAGACTAAGAGAAAGATTAACAGTATAAATATTTGGAAGTGGATTAGGGTTCTTCCTCAAGGAGACATGGTCTCCCTTTCATTCAAGGGGCTCCTGGTCTGTAAACTGGCTCAAGTCTGGAAATTGATTGAAGGGCTACGACTCTGTTTTTATGATTTAAGTTAGATTTTTCTTCACTTGAGCTAGAACTCTTCTTGTACAAATCAAGTGAGAATTTAGTGGGCTTCCCATATATTCTTTCTTCTAGGAACACCATGATAAAGAGCCAGCATCACAGGTCTCCAGAAGTCAGACTATTTGATTGCTATTTTGACTCTGCTGCCCATTATGGTAACAATACCCAGTTTACCTTTAGTGATGGATGGAGTACTGCCATTTGGACCCTGCCACTTCACCATCCAATTATTCTCATTGCATTTAGGTTTCCCAATTCAGTGGCAGCAGTTCCCATTGTAAGTTCTGGCCTACAGAGAGATGATTGCAGAGCCCTTCAAGGAGGCTGAGGCTCCCTTCACAAATTTATTTCTCACTGTTTTGGTGAAAAGTGTGTACACTGGAAACTTCCAGGGTGGGTGAGTAGGTCTTAAATGACAAATACACCCCAATTTTATGGAACTGACAGTGGAGATGGTTGCACAACACTGTAAATATTTTAAGAGTTATGGAAGTGTATACTCTAAAATGGTTAAGATGGTGAATTTTATGTCATGTGAATTTACCTCAATATTTTTAAAAAATCTCAAAAACTACATATAGAATATTTCTATGAGTTGAAGAGAAAATAAGGTTAATTATATCTCATTTTGAATGAAACTACATTGGTTCCTAGTGATCACCACTTCATCTTCTAGCAATCAATCAACTTTCAATTATGGGCCATAGGTCCCTTTCATCTTGGTAGTTAAAAATCCAGATATCTTGAGCCAAAGTTAATAAATTTACTCTGGGTGTGGTGCCCAGGAATTTGCTTTAATTATCTCTACAGTAATTACTGAGTGCACACTAAAGTTTGGGAGTCATAATTCTAGGTGCCTGTAAGTCACTCCTTAATAATTTTCTCTAAATTTTTGGTTGTGGGATGCCTGGTGGTGGCTCACAGTTGAGTGTCTGCCTTTGGCTCAGGGCATGATCCTGGGGTCCAGGGATCAATCCCATATTGGGCTCCCTGCATGGAGCCTGCTTCTTCCTCTGCCTGTGTCTCTGTCTCTGCCTCTCTCTATGTGTCTCTAATGAATAAATAAATGAAATATTAAAAAACAAATTTTTGGTTGCGCCAAATGTTAATAGTACCTGTCTGTGGTTTCAAATAGTCACTTTTCTCTTTGAAAATCAGAAGATGATTTGCCCACCTCCTGTTGCTTCTTATTTTCCCAGAAGTCCTCAAGTAACCCTGTCTCAGAATTTTCTCAAAATAGAGAAATGACTTCAAAAACTAGAAATGATCGAATTCAGTAGTAAATGATCCAGTTCTCTGGTAATTTTCATACTTATCTTGATCTACCTTTCCCCTTAGGTATTTTCTTGCATTTTCTTTCTGATGCCCACTTTCCTTGACAAAGCAGAAGTAATGTATGAGTTAGTTGATAGGCAGCCGTACACTGTATAACACTTAAATCACTATTCCTCTGCTGCTATTCCTTTGGCCTAGTGCCCTAAGTTGGGAGTTTTACTATGAGTACTTCAGGTTTTGTTTTTAAGGAAACGCCTGAGTGTTGTCCTTTTCTTTTTCTTTTTACTTTTTTTTATTTTTATTTTTTGTGTTGTCCTTTTCAATGTGGAGTTTTACTCGGATGCTTTTATGGAAGATATTTAGGCAATATTTTGGGAATGCCTTCAGAGCTAGCATAATAACCTTAGTACTGTTTATGTCCGGTGGGACCTCTTTTTTTTTTTTTTTTTTTTTTTTTTGCAGTTAGGACCACAGGTAGCTGTCTCCCACTTTCCTAAACTCTCCAAATGGTCTATTTTACATTTTGAGCTATTCTGCATGGTTCACTGTGCCCTACGATGCAGCAATGAATGCTGTCTGCCCTGTGTCCTATAGCAGCCCCCACCTTAGCATCTACAAACTGTCGCCTTCTGCTGGTGGGAATTCTGACGACTCGCCGCTGGCGGACTGGAGAATCCTCCCAAGCTCAGGATCCTCGCCGGACGCGGTGGCGCGCGCCTGTAGTCCCAGCTACTCGGGAGGCTGAGGCAGGAGGATCGCTTGAGCCCAGGAGTTCTGGGCTGCAGTGCGCTATGCCGATCGGGTGTCCGCACTAAGTTCGGCATCAATATGGTGACCTCCCGGGAGCGGGGGGCCACCAGGTTGCCTAAGGAGGGGTGAACCGGCCCAGGTCGGAAACGGAGCAGGTCAAAACTCCCGTGCTGATCAGTAGTGGGATCGCGCCTGTGAATAGCCACTGCACTCCAGCCTGGGCAACATAGCGAGACCCCGTCTCTTTTGAGCTCTCACCTTGAAAGTATCCTTTCTTCTCATAGTATATATTGAACACCACGAAAAGGGGCATACTTATATTCTTGCACGGCAGTTTTCCTACTACCTTGTGAATCCCCCATGGTGGGGCGGTCTTCTCTTATTCTGTCCTACTTTTTGATTATCTAGCGAAACACCTGAATATTCAGGCTGCCAGAGTTATGAGTTCCTATTGTACGCCAGGTACTACGCTGAGGCAAGGGATGCCACGATCAAGGTCAGATGAGAATCCTACTAAACATCGCAAAATACTCCTCTGACAGCGGGGCCCATCAAAACAGGAACTCCTTTTTGAGCGTTGCTTCACCTTTATTGTTGAGGGTAATTGTAGGGCGAACGAAACAGTTCCGCTTCGTCACATTTCAAAATCGACTCGTCCAAGTTAACCAAGCGGAGAGGGGTTCTTCCTCTTGCAGACCGAGCCCTACCGCCCATGCAGGGGAAATCCTCCCAGTACGCGCCTCATAAATCTTTACCACCAGCAGGGGTCGCTAGGGAGTCGGTCTTGAATCCCGGAACGCAAGAGGGAAAGGGTAGCCCGTCAGCTTTTCAGGAAGAAATGCAGTTTCAAGAGAATAGTTTGGATCTATTGCGAATTGTTTTGGTATAAGGAAGAGCCGGATGACGGCGACTTGATAGTTCAAAGCTTTGGAAAAGTGACGCAAACACGTTCGCCTCGAGGAATATTGGGTCTTCCGCGCGGCCGTAGATTTCGGCCAAGTGCGCCTGCGCGTTAGAGTAGCGGCGTTGAGTCAGGCAGTCAGTGGAGAAAACTGCGGTAGCGACCCTCAGACCTCGCCATGAAGACTCGTTTTAGCACCGTTGACCTCCGCGCGATACTCGCGGAGCTGAATGCCAGGTACTGAGCGATAGGTGACCAGGCTCGTGCGGGGGATGCAGAAGCCAGAGGCCGGTGCCCCGAGGTTGAAGAAAGACCAGCCTGATGTTTCCCCTTCATCCCCCCAGTGCTCTTCTTCTGCGGACCTGGCTATAGGCCTGGGTGGGCGAGTGCGTGACATCTTTCCCGTGGCCCTCAGGACACCTGGGGGAGCCCAGCGTCCGCGTGCCCCACACCCTGCTCTCGCGGGCTGCTTGTCTCACCAGGTCTTGTGTCAGGCTTTGGCGGGGCCCTCACCGAGCGCTTGCCTTGTTGGCCTGAGTTGCCCGGGTCTGGCAGCAAACGTGAGTAGAGCCCGAGACACCGGGTGGACGCCGGGATGCTCCAGCAGTCTTTTGCCTCGGGGGGCTTCCAGGCCGGAGGCCTGATTTCTTTGACACTCTTCCTTACTTCTGGGAGAGGGAATATCTGCGTTTTAGCTGCAAGTAACAGATTCTAGTCTGGTTTCTATTAAGCAGTGTGAATTTTGCCATTTTTGCCATTTTGCCTTTTTTTTTTTTTTTGTAATAAAGTGTATTGGATTTTTCTATGTTTCCTTAAATATTGGGTCATTTCAAGGACGAAGGGCATTGCATGGTTTTCCTAGGGCTGGTATACAACGTTAGTTCTTAAAAAGTTAAAATTAAATTTTGGGCGGAATGCCTGATGGCCTTCAGACTGATGATCCCAGGTTGACTCCATATCCTTAGAGTTGAAGATCCCCTCCTTCGAAGGCTCTGCTTCCTCCTGCCGCTTTAAATTCTGTGAAGTTTTGTATTTCAAATGTTGTTACATGTTTCCTTTCTCTTCGCAGCTTAATAGGAATGAGAGTAAACAATGTTTATGATGTGGATAATAAGACCTATCTTATTCGTCTTCAAAAGTAAGAGCATTTTACAGGCTTGTTTTACCTTTGGTAATTAAATATGAGATTATTAATTTTTTTTTTTTTACTTGCACTTTTAGTCTGTTTTACTGAGCGTTGACAAATGCCCTAAAGAAAAATTTAACTTTTTTCTTCTACAGGCCAGACTTTAAAGCTACACTTTTACTTGAATCTGGCATACGAATTCACACAACAGAATTTGAGTGGCCTAAGAATATGATGCCCTCTAGTTTTGCCATGAAGGTAACTTTAAGTTATACTTGAAGCTAAATTTTAAGGCCCTGGTATTGGTCACTAACGATTTAAGTTTTAAAATGTTTGGTTTTCCTTCACTGTTATGAATAAAGTAGAGATAAAATAGAGTAGTTGATAGATAATGGGATGAATACAGTAGCTGTTTATTGACTTCTTCCTGTTACCCTTCACACCCCATTGTGCTCCAAATCTTTCTGTTCCCACAGTCACTACTCTAGTTTAAGCTTTTATAACATTCCCTTACAGTTCCTTAATTACAGTGTATTTCTTGTTATCAAAACAATTGTGTTAGGCCAAGGTGAATTTTTCTAAGGCCTTATTTTCATCATTTTCTCACCTTTTTATGATTCTCTAATTTCTGAATCCATATCCTATATCTTGTTATTCTTGGCTTTCTATGATATGCCCCACCCCCTCCTTCCTACTTTTCTGCAGCTCACCTTTGAGCTACTGATCTGTATTTTGTTGAAATACTCAGTGACGTTAGTTTGTTACCAGTCATATTTTACTTTTCACTTCTCTCTTTGCTTTTGTTTTTTCTATTAAAACTGAGATTCTGCATTTGTGGACGTGTTACCTATCCATTTGTTGACATAACAGATACTCTAAAAGATTATGTGGTACAGAGGAAAGACATTAGAATCAAATATACCTAACTTTGAATTAATGATTTTGCCGCTAAATAATTTGATAACCCTGAAAAGTTACTTAGCCTCTTGAAACTTAGTTTATTTAAATGTAAAATGTGGATTATACCTCCCTCATGGGGTTATTGGTGAGGATTAATTGAAGTAACATGTAAAGCACCTAACACAATGCCTGACACATATTAGGGCTCCATATGTATTAATTTCCTTCTTCCTCTCCTCCTCACTTTCCTTCAGAAATTTATTTGTTTTGGCATTGTGTTATTTCATTAGAGGCTTTACAGAGAAGAATCTTATCCCCAGCAACTTAGAATCTGTTTTGGATTACAAGTTAGGTAAGTGTTTCCCAAATCACAAGGCCTGTCACAAAATTATCAAACTCTTAAAAGTTTAATATACTTAATAATAACCCCAAATGGTTCTTTTGGGAATTATCCTTAATAATGGTGACACTTGGTGTTTGTATAGCACTTTTCAAAATAAGTGGATAATGTTTATTTTAAGTTGCTTAATATATCTGTGAATATGAAGAACAGTTATTTTAGTTTTACAGATCATGTAACAGATGATAAGTTATATGATACTGGGATAAAAATCCCCAAATCAGGCTACACCAATAGGAAGCTAAACACTCTAAAAAGAGAATTTTATGAGTTAGGTGTATATATTTAATCTGAATGTATAGAGAGATACTCTCCAATGGAGCAAAAAATGTTAAACAGATTATAAATAATTAAAAATAAAGAACTGCTACTGGTATATGGCACAGTCATGCTCAGTTTGTGGTAAGTCACAGAGATTGTTCCTCATTCTCATATTTGGGGATGCCAGTTAATGCTTTATGGCACTGACAGTTTTCATCAAGTTGGTAATAGGGAAATAAAATAAGCACAACATATGTGCTGTATGCCCATCTGTGCTCATGATACTCTTCCCTTTTCTCCATTCCGTGGTGTGAATTTCTAGTTCCTTTCAAGTATGCCTTTTATCTCCATTTTGAACTTTTTCTTGAATAAAAATACTACTAGGGGACTCTGGAAGGATTGCGATTTTCCCCTGGGGATTTAAAAAAAAATAGCCCTATAGGTAGGTCACTGTTTAAATCAAAATCATTATAGACCACTCATAAATCAGAACTATTGAATATAGGAAAGGGAGACTGTTAGTAGTTTGAAAATTGTTATTATATCTGCCTGAATATATAAGTACATAAAATGAGAATTTTAGTCAATTTAAACTATCAAATCTGGAGAAGTCTTGGTTGTGAAAGAGATGGCATTCTAAGAGTGATTGTGTATTTCTTTTTTTTTAAAGGTGACTTTATATTAACTTCTCTGTAAAATTTGTCTTGAATTTAAGTCTTGAAAGCATTCTGTCTTACTGGTTGTGACTAAGAGCTCTTTCAAACTCAAGAATTAGAAACAATTGGAAGATTTGTAGGCACTACAGAGTAGTCTTGTTTTTGACCCATGTTATACTTAAATATTTGTACTAAAGGGTGTACATAGACTAAAGTAACAGGTGTTTACCAAGTAATTTGTATTTGGATATAAAAATGTTAATTTTAGTTTGATTGCTAATAAGAACATCATAACTAGGGATAAGAAGAATGGGATTTGATAAGGAATGAGAGTTAATACATTTGGATTTGAGCTAGGTTGATCAAAAGCTTTGGAGACAGTACCAGAAAAATTCTGTCTCGGTTGTATTACTAAATTTGTGGGAATAGAAGGTAATTGGGTGTATATAGAGGACTAACTTATAGAATACCAATAAGCTCATGGTTCAGAATTTGTATTGGAAATGGAAGATTAGTGGAAACCACCAATTAATTTTGAACACAAAGGAAATTGGAGATACTTAAAAGATGGGACTAGAAAGAAGCTTAAAAAAAAGGTTATAGTTTTGAGTGAGGTCATAGGGTAAGAAAAAGGGACTTACTGGTATAAATAACAAAGTAAATTTCTCTATAGGTATGTTATTGTCTTCTTAAAAAAGTATAAAATACCATTTCAGAGTTAGCAGTCAGTCCTCTCAATAAAGTGTTTTTCCTTTGATTATCATCCACAAACTTTTGTTTACTACTTTTTAAGTGTTATTCTTGATGGTAATAAAAAGAGGAAAATTATTTACAAACCACTATCAAATGATTAGGAATTAACTTCTACATAAATACCTTTTTCTTCTGTTTTTTACTAGTGCCGAAAACATTTGAAGAGTCGACGATTGGTCAGTGCAAAACAGCTTGGTGTGGATAGAATTGTAGATTTTCAATTTGGAAGTGATGAAGCTGCTTATCACTTAATCATTGAGCTCTATGACAGAGTAAGTAAATTTTGGAGATGAGATGATGGATAATTTATCTTTAAGTATTTGTGTAATAGTGTACTGTAAAACATGGACAGGGACTGTTCTATCCTTTCCCTGCAGGCAACTGCAGCTGCAGCCCATTTGAAATTGATTTTTATTTGTGGTCTCAGGTAGTGGTCAATTAAAATTTGTATGATAACCTCTTTTAAAAGTTTTTTTTTAAACTTTTTTGTTTTGAAATGATCATAGATTCATAGGAAGTTGCGAAGATAGAGAGGTCAGTGTCCCTCAGTTGTTACATTTTACATAATCATAGTACAATATCAAAATCAGGAAATTGATTTTGGTACAATGTATGCATCCAGTTCTGTACATTTTCCCACCTTTGTAGATTCAAGTAACTACCACTGCAATTAAGTTGTAGGATTTTCCATTACCACAGAGATCTTCTTGGTGATACACCTTTATGATATTACCTATCCACCCCTCTTCCTTCCAGCATCCCTACCTCTTGACACTGCCAACCTGTTCTGTCTCTATAATTTTGTCATTGTATTGAGTCTTCAACAAAGAATCAGTTACAGAACTTTGGTGGAAAGGACATATCAGATACTTTTAAATAGGAGTTGATCGTCCCCTGTGATGCAGCCTGTGGTCCGTTTTTATAAAGCCTGTGAGCTTAAGAATGGTTTTTATGTTTTAAAAGGGCTCTTTAAAAAATGCAGCTGAGACCATATGTGGCCACAAATGCTAAAATATTTATTGTCTTACCTTTTACAGAGTTAGCTTTGTAGAAAAGTTTGCTGACCCTGCTCTAATATAATAGACTCATATTATTTGAGCTAATACTGCTTACGTAAATGCCAAAATGTATCAGGGGACTAATTTAGCATTTATAAGACTTACTTTAATCTAGGAGCAGATGCTTTCATGAAAATCAAGTGCCAACCTGTGATCTAGAATGATCAGAATTAATCACACGGGACTTTATAATAAACTGGAGAGAATCTAAGTGTGGTTAATTTTTTTTTCCAGAATATTGTTGGTGTTATTTTTATGATGAATGTTTTATGGTAGTGTATGATAAAGCCATTTACCTTTCTCTTGATCTTTAGTAGTCTATACTACTGCAAATGGAAGTGATATATTCTCTAAATGGTAACTTGCTATCATTGATCCCTTAGAATTTAGGAACAAATATCTTTTACTGAGTTTTTTTTGTTTGATTTTTTTACTATTAATGGCAATGTGTATATTTACATAGGTTTGATAAGAATTTGTCCTTTCTTTTACCAAGATAAAATTAGACAAATTGTGCAACTAAAGTCAAACCTTGGCTATCATATTTGAGAATAAGTCTCATTTAAGTAGGATGACAAGCTCATCATTAAGGAACAAAGGTTATGTTTTGTATGCAGAAGCAATGTCCACAAATTCCTCTTGAGAAACTGGTTTTCTACCTATTTTTTGGATCCTAGCCTGTTGGTAGTAAGGAAGGTCACATCTGTAGGTTTTAATAACTTTAAAGAGGAATTTAGGGATCCCTGGGTGGTGCAGCGGTTTAGCGCCTGCCTTTGGCCCAGGGCGCGATCCTGGAGACCTGGGATCGAATCCCGCATCGGGCTCCCTGTACATAGAGCCTGCTTCTCCCTCTGCCTATGTCTCTGCCTCTCTCTCTCTCTCTGTGTGACTATCATAAATAAATAAAAATTAAAAATAAATAAAAAATAAAAAGGAATTTACCTGTTTTATAGGTATGCTACAGACACAATGAATAGTGATTTTTTGTTTGTTTGATTTGGTTTCATAGCTTTGAATTAGAAGCAAAGACTAATTTTCTTTTGGGATAACAGAAACTTTCAAAAATAAAATCCCAGATTTCTTATGAATTCTCCAGGCAGCAGTACTTATTATGGCTTCAGTGATTGCTTCATACCTTGTGGCTCTAGATTTGCTGACTATAGTACAAGGAGATTTGTTTGTGTTAATTAACATTTCTTGCTGTAAATAAATCAGGCCAAGATGCAGTAGCTTATGTGTGTATACGTTTGTCATCAGTAATTTTAGATGTTACACTCATGAAAGGGAACTGTAAAATATATATATATCAAAAAAAATTTGGAGGCAAAAGGGACAAAATGTCATTTTAGTATCCTGCCAACTGCTATCTAACAGGTACTCCTGGGGATTATTTTTTATTTTAAGTATTTATATCTCTTTGATTTGCTATTTACTATTGATTAGGTTTTTTAACAACTCTAGAAAGGTAGATTTTTAACTTGTAGAAAACTGTGAGCAATACAAATAATTCTTGCCTCGTACAATGAAAATAGTTGCATTCAGTAGAGATTAAAATTGAATCTGTCCAGAGAAAAGATATCTCCAAAGGTTAGTCTTATCTTACTGCCCTGAATTGGCAATCTTATACAATCATTCTCTCAGTCACTCCAAATATTTCACTTATTTCATTTCTCTTACAACCAATTTTACCATCTAGTTGGTTTTCTTATGAAATTTTTTAGTTACAAAAATAGTATATTGTCTTGTGTCAACCATTGTCTCTATTGAAATCAGTGTCAGCTCTTTTGAAGGTAATCTGGTCTTTTTATCTAGATGCTTTAAATTTTTTTCTCTTCCTGTTTGGTTTTCAGTTTTGCTGTGGTGTGCCCAGTTGAGTTTTTATTTGTAATTATCTTTTGGGAGTTAATAGTGCTTCTAGAACTGAGTTGATGTTTTTCATCAGTTTTGGGAAATTCAGCCATATTTTCTTTGACCTATCTTCCTATTCACTAATTTTATTGCTATCAGACAAGATTCATTTGGAATTGCTTTCAGTGTCTGTTTTTATAGTCTATTGTTTCTTTTGATTTTAATTATATTGTCTCCTCACATGCAATTATTGTATTGTGTGCCAAGCATTGAGTAGGAAAAACAATAATTATATTGTGAGATCTGGAATGATGTTGTCTTCCTTTAAAGAAAATTGCTTTTGACAAGTGGTTAAGGGTACAAATAACCCCAGATCACTTCACTCTAATCAAGCATTGAATTGGTTAGAAGCTGGGCCTCGAAAAACTGGTATATTTCTGGTTTGCCTCATCCCCTGTGATGTAGCCTTTACTACTCACTATTCAGAGCTACACTTCCCTCCCTTCCCAACTCACCTTTCACTTGGACTCTGAACTCTAGTTTTTATTCCCCTTAGTTGTCCTGTAAGTCTATCAAAATTTATGCTCAGCTTCTCAGCCCATCAACTGCTTCTTAACTCTTGGACAAATGATCCTAGGGGAAAATTAGCCCTAAGTGTGGGACTCATCTTTCTGAGTTTTCTTCTCCTAGGTTTTGGTTCTGTTTACTGTCTTGCTTGCATTTTTTTTTCTTAAAAGATGAGTTTTGTATATTTTGTTCAGTTTTTCTATTTCTCAGTAGGACAGTGGTTGGAATTACCTAGACTACCATTTAAATTAAACATGTTTATATAAGTAGTACATTAATACATTTTCAGTACACACAAAAGTACATAGAATTAAAATGGAGGGTCTTACCACTCCTAGCCTAAACCATTTCCTCATCTCAAGGTAACCACTGTTATGATTGTTGTTCTCTTTATGGTCTCTTTCTCTCTCCTCACCATCATCCAAAACCCCCCCCCCTTTTTTTTTTCATTTGGAGGGGGAAATCTCTAGAATGTAACTAATTGCAGGCATGCTTAGGTTTTATTCAGTACGCATGCATTCTGAGTTTAATCTTATACTAGATATGGGCCTTTGCATTTTTTTTTCTTTTTCAGTTTTTTTCGTTTTTTTTTTAAGATTTATTTATTTGAGAGAGAAAATGCATGCGGGCGGAAGTTGGGTGAATGGGAGAGGGGCAGAGGGAGAGAGAGAATCCCAAGCAGACTCTACTACCTGAGCCAGAGCCAGATGCAGCAATGACCTGAGATCAAGACCTGAGCTGAAATGAAAAGTCACACACTTAACCAACTAAGCCACCCAGGCACCCCTTTTCTTTTTCAATTTAATTTAGACCTAGATGATACTTAAAATTTTTTTCCATATGATGACTTTGTATATCTTTAGTATGATTTTTTAAAAATCTAAACAGCCTTTTTATTTTGTAATAATTTTAGATTTATAATACATTTAGATTTTGTGATTTTAGGTTTATAGAAAAGTTGCAAAGATAATACAGAAAGTTCTTGTATATCCTTCATTTAGTTTATAGTAACATTAACATCTCACATCTTATATAATCACAGGGCATGTGTCAAAACCAAGTAATTAACATTGACACATTACTATTAAACTGTAGACTCTTCAGATTTCACCAGTTTTTCTAGTACTAATCCCTTTTCTGTTCTGGGATTCAATCCAGGATACCCCATTGCATTTAGGGCCTTTCTATTTTGAAGGGTTTGAGCAATTGGCATGCATACTGCGAGATTTCAGACATCCAGTTATTGATGAGTTGGAAATAGATATTAAGGATTTTGTACATGGGAATATGTGCTTGGGAATTTTCAGTAGTCACTGTAGTATCTAAGAGAGGTAGGCTTACAGTGGATCTTGAAGATTGCTCTCTTCTCTCTTTATACCAGGGTTTGATCTCCCAGCCTTCAGGTCTGGAATTTTGATGTATTGGTTTATCTAGAGTAGATCAGACCTTAGGTAAAGGAGTGATTGCTGCTCAGATTCATTTAAGAAAGTCAGTTTATTGAGATGCCCAGGTGGCTCAGTGGTTGAGCGTCTGTCTTTTACTCAGGGCACGATCCCAGGGTCCTGGGATCAAGTCCCACATTGGGTTCCCCACAGGGAACCTGCTTCTCCCTCTGCCTGTGTCTTTGCCTATCTCTCTCTCTGTATCTCTCATGAATAAATAAATAAAATCTTGAAAGTTTATTAATTTGTAATAAAGTTCCAATAAAGAGACTCTGGAGAAAGTAAGTTAAGATCAGAAAATAGTTTGTTAAGTATATCAGAGTCAAACACAGTATTTCCCAAAGTATATTTCTTAGATACCACCTGCCATAGCTAATAGGTGTACCTAGAAATATGGGTCCCATAACCATTAAAGTTTGAGGACCTTTGAGAATAAAGTAAGATTTTAAAAAAATTCTTTAACTCTAGGACTTATCAGTACCTTTATTTATTTATTTTTTAAGATTTTTAAACATCTCCTAGAGATGGAGATTTGTGATTTAAAATTTACAACTTACTTGATCACAGAATTCTTTTTTTATGGGGTTAGGGGAAACCATTTTACAGAATAGTTTTGGGAAACTTGATCTAAGGAAAAAAACACTTCAGGGAAGTAACTGCTTTACTGGAATTTTCCAGATGTTCTTGATATCTGCACATTTTAATTTAACAAACATTTACTGAGCACCTTCTTTGTGTCAGGCTCTGTGGCCAGGTCTGTTTTCCAAATCACATATTCCTGAACTAGATGCTATATGGACAGTTTTCCAAAGCTCCCAGCTTTCTTTCTCCAGTTAACTTTTGTGTTAAGTTAAATGCATGAATACTTTGAAGTCAGAACTTTTAGCAGTAGGTATTACTCTTTCAACACCTGATAACTTCTGGTTATTTGTATCTCTAATCAAGGTGAATGGTGACCGCATCTACTGAAGCCACTTATCTTGCAACCTATCATCCCCAACCTGAGTTTGGGGCTACTTTCACTGTCTTTTTTTCATAAAAGTGAAAATCCATTTCAAATTTCTTTCGGTTAGTGAAAACAGGTACTAGTGTAGGTCTTTTATGAAAAAGAAGTTTTGAAAACTGGGGGATAATTGTATTGTGCTTCTATGAGTGACTTTTATAGAAACATTAGACAATGAGTTTAAAGTTGGTTTATATTCCTTCATTATGTTTCAAATCTGGGGTCCTTTATTTGCTCATCTTATTTCAGAGTCTGTGTTGGGCAAATGCGAAGAGCAGTGTTTAGATGTGACTCAAATGGGTTTTGTTCATAACTTCATTTTTGTAGCCTTAAGTTTTTAAGAGACTACATTTTCTCACTTTTTAAGAAGTTTCAAGAATTATTTGGGAAAAGCAGTAAGTCATATTTTATTCTATTACAGGGAAACATTGTCCTTACAGATTATGAGTACCTAATTTTGAATATCCTAAGATTTCGAACTGATGAGTCAGATGATGTTAAATTTGCTGTTCGTGAACGCTATCCAGTTGATCATGCTAGAGCTGCTGAGCCTTTGCTTACCTTGGAAAGGTAACATATTTGTTTATAAGTTCACTTCATATTGTATTAGAAGATAAAATAGGTCATATGTTGATATGAAAGAACTAACAGAATATTTTATTTACTTGCATACAGTAACTAAATTTGGACTGCTTGAACTACATAAATGTGCATGTAATCAGTTAAGCTTCATTTGCAAGTAGCAAAAGTATATCTTTTTAATCTAAGTCTGGTGTTAATTCAGATGTTTATGATTTCTTGGTAAAGTGAGGGGACTTACTAGCTCTTTTGTGAGAAGACAGCTATCTTGGGCGGAGTGCAAATGGAAATGGTTTAGCTAGGAAAAGGGAGTACTGTGGGATAAGGTGCTAATTGTAGTTATACTCTTTTAGCTGAAAGGTTTTGCTGGCTAATAGCTATAGCAGAGGTTCTGAAAATGTAGCATGCATCACATTCACCTGGAAGGCTTGATAAAACATAGATTGCTGCTCCTGCTTCCAGAATCTGATTCAGCAGATATGGTATAGGCCCAGGAATTTACATTTCTACCAAGTTCTCAGGTTATGTTGATGCTGCTGATCTGGGGACCAGAGTGGCCCACAGCATTGTTAAGAACTCTTATTAGATGCATAGTTAAGTAAAACCGTTCCAAGTATTAAGATACATCACCAGGCCCTATAGACGTTTACCTGTTACATAAAGACATCACTTTCCTGTCATAGATGAGCATGATGACAAGCAATATGACTTAGTTGAGAAAATATTGATTTTTCTTAGAAAACTTGGTTTTGGGTGCCACTCTCCTGCTAGGAACCTATTACCCTTGGATAAATTACTTTTACAACCCATTTTCTTACATACAAAGTGAAGTTATCCCTCTTGTATTTTAGAGTATAGTGATGATCAGGCAATTTGATGCATCTGAAAGTATTGTGAATATGAATTTTGCTATAAGATTTGTTAAATATAAGTTAGTAAGAGGTGTGTCAATTTTGTTTTCACAGATTGACTGAAATAATAGCCGGTGCACCTAAGGGCGAACTACTGAAGAGAGTTCTTAACCCATTACTTCGTGAGTAATCCTAAATAGAGCAGTGAAGTGTTTGCAAGAAAATGTAGTTTTCAGGAATATATTTAAATTTTTTATAACTCAGGAGAATATTAGAACAACTTGATAATATAGAAAAGAGTTGAAGATTATCTTTTGAGTAAGTAAGAGTTTATTTTTAAGGAAAGAGAAAGTTGTTATACCACATAAAGTTTGACCTTTATCCAATAACTTTTATTTAAGAGCAATACAGTTATGTAAAAATAGTATGTTATCTATCACTTTAGTGCCACTGTAGTATTCTGAGAAATGTTTTTTTTCACTTGAATCTTTGGTTTAATAACCATTTAGAATATGTTTGTTTGTTTGTTTGTTTTTTAACTGGTGGGTTTTGGGGCATCCCAGAATCTGCCAGGTACTTTTGATCAGGATAAAGATAATCCAATAAACTTGAGAAATCATCATTCATCCCTGTAAAGAATCTTGAGAGGACATACGAGCAGGGAGATATCTTCAATTACTGAGCATTAGGGAGTTACTTATCCTCTCCTGAAATTCGAAGGCATTAAAAAATTATCTTTACAACTTTCCAACTATTAGTATAGCACAGATAAATTTGTAAGTTTGGACTTTTTAATAATATACTCTATTAACATGGTGTGTTGCATTAATCAGTTTTTGAAGGTTAAAACAATCATTTCTGATTTATAGTCCTTTATATGTGGCTCAATTCCATTAAATTTATATAACATACACTGAATTCTACAATTGTATTGTAGCCTTTAAAAAGCCTTAAATTTTTATAAGTACTTGAATTGTTATTTCTAATATCATTTCAAAATAAGTAAACTAAAAAAAGAATAAAATCTTAAAAAGCAAAATAAGTAAATTGTTTTCACTGGCTACTGTTAGTAGATATTCATATTGGGATATATATTTTGGATGTATTTTGAATGTTAAATTTTATAGTAAATACTAAAAAATGATACCTTCTGCTTTTATAGCCTATGGACCAGCTCTCATTGAACACTGTCTTATAGAAAATGGATTCTCTGGCAATGTCAAAGTGGATGAAAAATTTGAAAGCAAAGGTATGCCTGCACGCTACAAGATTTGTCAACTTTCATTTATTTCCTTTTTTAAAGACTGAAAATTAATTCTGGGAAAATAATAAAAGTGAGCAGGTAGTTGTAAACTTAAAAACATTGACCTATGAATGTTCTATCCATTTGGTATTCTTGGCTTCCTGCTCTAATGTGGCACTTTTTTCTTTTTTTTTTTTTTTAATTTTTAAGAGATTTTATTTATTCAAGAGAGTGGACATGAGCTAGGGGTAGGGCAGAGGCAGAGGGAGAAGCAGACTCCCCGCTGAGCAGGGAGCCCACCTGAGACTTGACCCCAGGGTCCTGATCCCAGGGTTCTGGGATCATTACCTGTGCTAAAGGCAGATGTTTAACCAACTGAACCACCCAGGCACCCCTCCAATGTGGCATATGATCCCTAGTAATTCACAGTTCAGTCTCTACCTTATTACCTATCAACCTTAGAATATTCTCTCTTCCTCTCTAAATATTTGAAGTGGTTACCAAACTTGATAGTCTCTGGTATAGGCTTGAAGGAGTTGAATTATTCACCTTCTGACTAGGAAGTTGGAGTGCTTTTAGAAATAGCGTTATTCATGCATTTTAATTCTGTAAGAACTGTAGGGTAGATTTATGATGCTTTTGTAATTACTTAAGGGAACCTAAATAAATTGCCAGATTAAGATAATAAAATATTAGAGGAAATATAAGGGAAATGGAAGACTTAGTCTTTGACAAATTTATCTGCAGATTCTCATGTAAAATTTTAAAGAAATCATCCTTCATGTTTATATTTTAGGATTATATATAATTTACGGTTTAGGGAGAATAATTTTTATGCTATAAATGTTTTTATGTTTAAAAATACAACTTAAAAAATAAAAATAAAAATGTAACTTAAATGTTTTAGTGAGTGATTTAGTATTTGAAATACTAATTTAGTGCAGTCCTGATCAAAATGCCAACAGGTGGTATTGTCTTTGCGATTGTAGTGTTTTGTTTCAAATCTGATATTCTTATGGAATAAAAGCAAGTGAAAATATTCAGAAAAGTCTGGAAAAGAATGGTAATGATGGAGAATATAACCCTTTAATAGTTAAAATATATTAAGAACCTAATAGTAAGTTTTTGAAGAAATAGAAAATAAAGAATTCAGAAACACACTCAAGTACATATGGGAATATAGTGTATGAACAAAGTACCTTTAAGATCATGAGAAGAAAAATAACATGAGAGTAAAATGTTATTGAGATCACAAGCTGGCCAAAAAAGATTCTTTTTTTATTTTTTTTATTTTTTTTTATTCATGAGAGACATAGAGAGAAAGGCAGAGACATAGGCAGAGGGAGAAGCAGGGTTCCCGTGGGGAACCTGATGTGGGACTCGGTCCCAGGACCCTGGGATCAGGACCTTAGCCAAAGGCAGATGCTCAACCACCAAGCCACTCAGGCGCGCCCCCCCCCCCCAAAAATATTCTTACTTACGTGTACTGATTATAAACTTGAAATAACTATATCTAATTTTCTTAAACATTTTTTACCGTTTCATCAGCACTTTTCTGTTTTCTACATGGTTGTTTAATAGTAGTTGATACTTGATTGACACTCCTTTTTCCCATTTTTATTCTATTAGATATTGAAAAAGTGCTTATCTGTCTGCAGAAAGCAGAAGACTATATGAAAACAACATCCAACTTCAGTGGAAAGGTAGCACCACATATACTTATTGTATATTGCTATGGTTTTATTTATTTAAATTTTCAGAATTTGAAGTTCATTTAAGGATTACTACATGTAAGTTTTTTGTTGTAATTTGGAAATTCAACATCGGTAATATTGTAGGTAATTTAATTTTTTTTTCATTGGTGTGGGGTTTATAATTTTTCCTCTGTTTCTTTTTTTGAAAGTACCAGTCAAAAAAAAAATAAATAAATAAATAAAATAAAATAAAGTACCAGTCATATCATTATTGGTACACCAGGAGAGTTGAGGGATTTGGAAATCTATCCTCTTAGGGTGATTTTTAGATAGAGAAGCACATTTTAATTTACTAGCACTTTTTTAAAAGTTGGTGATTTACATCACTCTATTTTTAAATTTTTTTTCAGTTTTTAAAAAAATTTAAATTAGTCAACATAGAACATCATTAGTTTCAGAGGTAGAGTTTAGTGATTCATCAGTTGCATATAACACCCAGTGCTCATTACATCACATGCCCTCCTTAAAGCCTGTCACCTAGGTACCCCATCCCCACACACACCTCCCCTCCAGCAACCTTCAGTTTCTTTCCCATAGTTAAGTTTAAGTCTCTCATGGTTTGCTCTCCCTCTGATTTCTTCCCATTCTTTTACATCACTCTAATAGGTAAACATCCTCTGTATCTCATACTTTCTTTTTCTTCCCTGTTTGAAGTATAACTTTATTTATAACAGAAGTTGAGAAAAAGTTACAATTACTTAAATTCAGTGCAAATATACCTGCCCCATTTTTTAAATGAGTGAAAATTTCCTACTTTCTCATACTTTCTTTTTCTTCCCTGTTCAAAGTATAACTTTATTTATAACAGAACTTCAGAAAAAGTTATGATACTTAAATTCAGTGCAAATATACCTGCCCCATTTTTTAAATGAGTGAAAATTTCCTACCAAGTGAATCTAAGCTGGAAGTAAAATGCTTTTGGCTTTTTTAAGTTGAAGAGCATCTAAAAATGGAAAGAAAAAAAGCATAGTGCACCTGTATAATCTCACCACTTTATTAAATCACTAGTTTTCATTTTCTTTATTCCTTATTTTTTCTTGTCCATATGAAAAAAACAGTATTCTTTAATAATACTTAGCCTAGAAATGCCATTTGAGAATTGATACAATCAATAAACAAATGCAGTAGATTATTTAAACCTGGAATACTTTTATAAGTTAAATTAATAAGATTTGTATCGGTCATGGAAAGTAAATCTGTTAACTATGAAGAGAAAGAGGTTTTTTTTATTTATTTATTGATTGATTGATTTAAGAAAGAGTTTTAATATTGGATTTTTGTAGGGATACATCATTCAGAAAAGAGAAGTAAAACCAAGCTTGGAAGTAGATAAACCAACTGAAGACATACTCACGTAAGCATGTAGGCATGAGTCAATTTGCTTTGGATGTTTTTTATTGTTCTTGAATGATATAATAAATATGTTTTGCAGGTATGAGGAATTTCATCCTTTCTTGTTTTCTCAACATTCACAATGTCCATATATAGAATTTGAATCATTTGACAAGGTGGGTTTTCCAGTTCTGCATTTTGACCAGTTAGCATGTATGAGGTGTTAAATTAATACTAACTTGCTTTGATTGATAAATTGAAAATATTTTTGTTTTACAATCAGTGAATCTGGCATTAAAGATTAATGCATTTTATTTTAAGATGAAGAATCAAAGATTTGAACTTAATTTGATTCTGGCTGTTTAGCTATATAATACATTTACTAAGAATCTGTTCAAGTTCTTTGAGTAGTATTATAAAACAAAATGGACTCTAAAATTCTGTGTGTGTAAGTTGAAGTAAAGACCACATTTTTGTTTTTTTTTTTTTAAACTAGTTACTATCTTTTTCTTTTTTTTTCTTTTTTTAAAATAAGGCTGTGGATGAATTTTATTCCAAGATAGAAGGTCAGAAAATAGATTTAAAAGCTTTACAACAGGTATGGTATTGCTAAAAGCATTTATATTAAAACAACTAGCTTAGTGTGGTTTGCTGTGTAGATGATGCTTTCATTATAGGGATGGGCAGCCTTTCAGAATTAGTATGGGAATGCCATTATCCCTTGGTTTATTGATAAAGGTCCAGGAGAGGTCTCATTGTTCAAAAGGATTCCCTCATTTGTTCCATCAGTATGTTAGATACTCTCTAAAATGGAAAATACAGTGGGAAGATAAGGCCTGGTACTTTTTCCCTAGTGTTTGTGCTATTACAGAAACCCAAAGCTTCTCAGACTTTGCTGTTAAGGGAATATTGTTCCAAGGAGATTTTTAAATAGGGCAACAGAGAGGGAAATGTTCTCTCTGTACAATCATATTTGTTTATCATTAAACTGCTTCTTTTTTTCAAGTGGGCTTTCCACCTCTACAGGAGAGTTGAGTATGCTCTGTTTCCCCAGCACATATGACCATGCTTTTGGAGCACTGCTGTAGAACACTTTCAGAAATTAGCCACAGTCACTATTAATTTGAAGGGGATTTGATTTTTCAAAAAATATTAATTAAGTCTTAAAATATGTGTGCAAGAATTTGAAATTATGTGAATCCCTGCCCCGTGTTGTAAAAAATTAACAGCACAATTTCAAAGCAGATGGGTTGGATGAATTAAATAGTGTGACTGCCACATGGTGGCAGCACATGAACTAGTAAACAGATATTTAGTGGGAACATTGAATTGCATGTTTTTATGTGCATCAGAATATCTATGAATTATTTTAGTGATCACTGTGCGTTCTTTTAATAGTCACCATTCTTATAATTCAGACCTTTTAAATATTACATCCAGCATTCAGTAATTAATTGATGATGCTATTACTAATGTTAGAAAATTTGCTCCAAATCAATAACCTTGAAGGTATAAATGATATATGATAAAATGCTATATAGAAGGTAAATTAACTACCATGAGCCTTTGTGGGTTTAATTTAGGAAAAAGAGTACTCTGTAGAAATGATGCTGAGAAAATTAAAAGCAGCAATAAAATAAAAAGCTATTTTGGTAATTTATGTTAAGAATGCATTTCCCCAAAAGCACTATTACATGATAGGAAGACAAGGTCTTGAATTCTGCCTGCTTGAATAATGCGAGGGCATTAGGGGCATATATTGCATAGGATGTATGTAACCTGTAATCAAAATACCTTCCTGTATAGGGAATGAGAGGTAGGTAGTCGGGAGAGGTAATTTGAGAGCATGAAACACTTTGGGGTAGGACAGACCTGGGAGGCTGACTATGGGAACCTTAGCTAGTGAGGTGATAACACTGAGAGGGTTGAAGTGGAAGTGGGGTAGTGACATAAGAGAGAAAAGTTGCAAGAGGCAGGAGAAATCTAATTTTCAAAAAATCTGTTTTGCCTACAAAAGGAAAAACAAGCATTGAAGAAATTAGATAATGTCCGGAAGGATCATGAAAACCGATTAGAAGCTCTTCAGCAGGCTCAGGTATTATGTTTAGTGTTTTCAAATTTCAAAAATGGTAACTTTAAATACCATAATAAATAGTTAACTGCGTGTTAACTAAGTGGAATTAAAGACTAAAAAAATGGTAACTTTAACTGGCATTATAGTAAACATTTTTGTTTATTTCTTAAGGAAATAGACAAACTTAAAGGAGAGCTCATAGAAATGAACCTACAAATAGTTGACAGAGCCATTCAGGTTGTTCGAAGTGCTTTAGCCAACCAGATAGATTGGACAGAAATCGGATTAATTGTGAAAGAAGCCCAGGCTCAAGGAGACCCTGTTGCAAATGCAATTAAAGAATTAAAACTACAAACAAATCATGTTACAATGCTACTGAGGTAAGTTTGATTCTTAGTTAAGCAGTTCATGTTTGTTTTTATTTTGTTATTTAATTGTTAACTGTATTCATTTAAAAAATTTTCTCTTTTATTTGGAAATTTATCCTCAGAGATACAGGAAAAAATAATTTACATTAAATAATGCAACTATTGATTTAATTTCTTTAAGATTTTATTTATTTAGAGAGAGAGTGCAAGCACTGGCATGAGTGCACATGGGGCAGGTGGGGGCAGAGTGGGAGAGAGAGAGAAGATCCTAAGCAGGCTCCATGCTGAGTGTGGACCCCAACATGGGCCTCGATCTCATGACCCTAAGATCATGACCTGAACCAGAAACAAGAGTTGGACACTTAACTGACTGTGCCACCCAGGTGCCCCATAATAATGCACCTATTTAAATACAGTAAACAATCTATGATGTCACTGAGGAAAAAAATTGAAAAAAATGTGATGTCATTGACATTAGTGAAATACTATTGAATATTTTTAATAGAAATCCATACTTGTTATCAGAGGAGGAAGATGACGATGTTGATGGTGACATCAGTATTGAGAAAAATGAAACCGAACTACCAAAAGGAAAAAAGAAAAAGCAAAAGAATAAACAGCTGCAGAAGCCTCAGAAAAATAGGCCATTACTTGTTGATGTTGATCTCAGCTTGTCAGCATATGCCAATGCCAAAAAGTAAGTGTTAAATTTAAGTATGAATTGTAGGTAAAATATTACCTGCAATAAACCAATTAAAATATTAAAGATAATATTTGTGTGTTTGTATATATATATATATGTGTGTATATATATATATATATATATATATATATATATATATATATTACGTATATATGTGCTTTTGGGTGAAAACACTTTTTAAATCTTTTTGTAGTACATTATACAACTTTGTTTTCATAGAGAACATAAAATTGCATCATGCACAAAATTTGTTCCATATGATTTGAGAATCTAAAATTAGAAATAACATAAGAAAGCTAAAGAATAAAGATTTTACTTAAAATTAAGAGAAACATTTTTTTTAGATACTATGATCACAAGAGGTATGCTGCTAAGAAAACACAAAAGACTGTTGAAGCTGCTGAAAAGGTACTTAATATTTCTTAGAGTGAATGTGAATTGTTTTTCTTTGCTTTCACTTAATGGCCTTAATTATTTCTTCTGTTTAAGTGAGGTTTTCTAATTCAGATATATCTTTCAAATTTAATTTTGCTTTAAATATATGTGTGCCAGTATTTATTTTCTTTCCCAAACCTCCTTCCCAATCTTGCCCGTCTCAGTAAATAGCACCTTCCTTTTTCCCTTTGCTTGGGTTAAAAATGTTGGGCTCATCCTAGACTCTTCCCTCTTAAACCATTTCCAGTCCATCATCAGTATATCATAGCTTTCCTATAGAGTGTAACCAGAATCTGGCCACTACTCATTAGTTGAGGCCCCCATTATCTCTGTTTACATGGATTGTAACAGTGGCTTCTTCCTGGGTCTCTCTCCTGCTGCCCTTTTCCCCCTGCAGTCTGTTCTTCATGCAGCAGCCTTAATGATCCTTTTAAATAAAAAATGAGGTTATTTCTTTCTGTTCAAAATCCAGTTGCTTCCCATCTTACTGAAGCATCTGACTCTTGGTTTTGGCTCAGGTCATGATCTCAGGATCATGAGATAGAGCCCTGTGTTGAGCTCCATGCTCAGCACAGAGTCTGCTTGGGTTTCTCTCCCTCTCCTTCTCCCCACCCCCACCCCCACCTGCCATCTCTCACAAATAAATAGAGAGTGAGTTCAAAGCCCTTCTCTTGCCCTATAAGGTCCTACATGATCCACTCCCTTCCCATCTAATCACCTGCATTCCTCTTGCTATACTATTTCCAGCTACATTGCGATCTTAGCTGTTCCAGCAACAGGGACCTGTGGTGCCTCCTCAGGGCATTTGTGCTTGCTGCTCTTTCTACTGAGATTGTTCTTCCCTCAAAATTTCCATGGTTTGATCCCTCCATTCATTGGCCTATCTACTAAAATAAGACTTTACAAGAGAAGCCTTTCTTGACCACTCTTACCGAAAATAGTACTACCCTCAGGCACTCTCTTTGCTTTATTTTTCTTCTTAAAAAATACCCTTTCCAACATGTTTTTCTGTCTTCTCTCTAGAATGTAGATTGTATGAAAGTAGGATCTTTGTTTTGTTTATTGCTTTGTCCCAGCCCCTAGAATTATTGCCTGGGACATAGTAACATATAATATCTGTCAAATAAGTGGCCTTTATGACTTGGCCCTCTATCTGCCTCTCCATCCTCGTTTCTTGACATTTTTCCTTGTTGTGATCACTACTTTCTGATCAAGGTGTCCTTTTCTTTTTGCTTCCAGGGCTCTTCTTCCTGTTTTTGTCTTGATAATTCCATTACCCTTCCGACTTCAGCCTAAATGTCATTTCCTCAGAAATACCTTCTTTGACCATAAAGTTATAAATTAGGTTATCCTTGTATACTCTCACAGCATCCATAGATACACTTAACATACATTTATTTGAATTAATATATTTTATATTTATATCTTCTCCTAGACCCCTTGGTGGAGTGGGGGTGAGAACTTTGTCTTGTTCACTTGTGTGTCCCAGCATCTAGTCCAGAACCTATTATGTGATAGATACTCAGTATCTGGTAAACAGATGGTACTTTCTGTAATTTGTAGGTCTTAAGAAAATATTTGTATGTGGTAAATCTTTGACTTAAATTATTTTAATATTTAAGGCAAAAATCTTTTCTTCATTAATTTCATGTGGGTATGGAGTATGTGTGTAATTGGTGCAATTTTGTGACATTTAAAAATGATTTCTTGCCCTACCATTTACTTGTTACTTTATATTTTACTTTTTTAGAGAGAATGTGTACACTCCTGTGCCCACGGGGTTGGGGGGAGGTGGGGAGGTGGGGCAGAGAGAGAGGGAGAAAGAATATTAAGCAAGCTCCATGCTCAGCGTCAAGCCCAATGTGGGGCTTCATCTCACGACCCCTGAGATCATGACCTGAGCTGAAATTGAGAGTCAGATGCTTAATCAACTGAACCACCCATGTGGCCCTTCATGTTATTTAAATATGTCTTAACAAATTATTTAAAAACTTTTCTTCTTATGAATAGGCATTTAAATCAGCAGAAAAGAAAACAAAGCAAACCTTAAAAGAAGTCCAAACAGTTACCTCTATTCAGAAAGCAAGAAAAGTGTATTGGTAAGTGTTATACCTTTTAAAAATAGTTTTTAAAGATTTTATTTACTTATTTGAGAGAGAGAGCATGAGAGACAGCATGGGCTGGGGGAGAGGCAGAGACTCCCTGATGAGCAGGGAGCTCCATGTAGTCAATGCCAGAACCCCAGGATCATGACCTGAGCTGAAGGCAGATGCTTAACAGACTGAGCCACGCAGGAGCCCCTAGAAATAGTTTTTTGTTTTTATTAAAATTATACATGCACATTGTTTAGAAAATCCAGCACTTCTATAAAGCTTGTTACAAACACCAGTAGCCCTTAAATATTTTACCCCTACTCTTATTGCCTTCTCTCCATAGAAACTATTTTTTAGCTCTTTTAGCTAATTACTTTTGGTATATACCTCCCTTTCTCTTACTAATATGTTTATATTGCTGCTGCTTAATTTTTCTATTTTATAATCTATTAATGACTTCCCACTGTGCAAGGTGAAGATTTTATTCTTTCCACTTATGCTCCATTACACACATATATACCATTCAGCCTCTCAACAAAAGTATAGCATAATTTGTCACAGTTGATATTCAGCATTAATATTATATTAATATTTTAATTGTTATATGACTCATAACTGAGTCATATAACATTAGTTTTTTTTCCTTCCCTGCTTAGCTTTTTGTCTTCCCTAAAGGTGATAATTGTCATTTCATTTACCCTCCTCTTCCAAGTGCGTTCAGACACATTGGAATTCAATCAGTTTCATCTTGCAGAAGTCTCTCCTGAGTTTTTTGACCTACTTTGTTCTAGATCAGTTACTCTTAACATCTTAAGATCTCCTTTTATTCTTATCCCAGAAGTTCTTTTTACCCTCTCTGTGTTGGATTCTCTGTCCCTGGATCTCATACTTCCTTTTCCTTTCTGTGTGCTCTAGAGGCTGCATGAGAAGGTGTATATAAGATGTAAAGTTTTTGAGGTCCTCAATATATAAAAAATTATTTTTATATGTATTTTTACATTTTTTCCCTTATGCCTAATTGGCTGGCTGGGTATAGAATTCTAGTTTAAAAATCTTTTCTTCAGACTTTGAAAGTCATTGTTCATTGTGTTAACTTTCAGATTTGATCTCCAAAAGTCTGATGTCATTTTGATAGTTTTTATTTTATTGAAAATTTGTTTCTGCCTTTCTCTAAACCTGTAGATCTGTGAGGATGTTTTAATCTATTATGCTGGATATTCTGTGAGTCTTTTTAATTTGGAAACCTGTAGTTCTGAGAAATTATCTTAAATATTTCTTAGCTCTCTGTGGATTGTGTTTTTCTTTTTGGTTTTCTTTTTTTCCTTTTCTTTTGGAAGTCTTATTTATTAAATATGGGACCCGTTGGATGGTCCTCCAGTTTTCTTGCATTTTCTGTTTTTCAGCTCTTTATGTTCTATATCCTGAGAGATTTCTTTATCTTGCAGTTCTTCCCCTGAATTTTTACATGTTTTATTCCTTCCTATCATGTTTTTAATTTTCATCTATTTTTTGTTTTTTATTAATTTCCTGTTCCACTTTCTTTATACTAAGAATAGTTTTGATGTATTAATTTTATTTAAAAGTATTCTTTTCGGGGATCCCTGGGTGGCGCAGCGGTTTGGCGCCTCCCTTTGGCCCAGGGCGCGATCCTGGAGACCCGGGATCGAGTCCCACGTCAGGCTCCCGGTGCATGGAGCCTGCTTCTCCCTCTGCCTGTGTCTCTGTCTCTCTCTCTCTGTGTGTGACTATCGTAAATTTAAAAAAAAAAAAAAAAAGAAAAGAAAAAAAAAGTATTCTTTTCTCGTAGGTCTTCTCTAAGGTTTTTGGGTTTTGATTCTGTTTTATTTGTTGGGTTTGTCTTCAGTTTTTGTAAAAGACTTTTATTAATGTCTGATAATCCTGAATTGTTGTTCACATTTTATTGTAGAGTATAAAATGATTATTGGAAGTTCTCTGTGGGTAGTTGGGCTTATAAAATAATGTACATGGGCCATTTTATATGGAACTATTAATGTCTTTAGCTTTTTGACTCTTCAGCTGGTCTCGTTCTTCAGGAAACATTTTTCCCCCTGCTTGGAAAGTGAAGACCTGGCTATAATTTTGGAAGCCCAGTGAGAATAATAGACTGGGGAGGCTTAGTATCCAGTAATTCATACATGTACTTTAACTGCCTTATTTTATATGTTACCTCTACTTATAACTGCTACTTTTCCCTTAACTTCTGGCCTTCTGTTAGGATGTGGAAGAGGGAGCAGCTTACTACTATGTTTAGAGCTAAAAAGATCTAGGGAGGTAACTGCTTCTTGATCTGATTGTGACCAGTTCTCCTGTTTTTAACCCCATCTTAAACTATTTCTAGCAGCATGTTGTGCTGCTATTTTAAGCTTTTTATGGGTTACACAGTGGAGATTGATTTGTTTCTTGGCTTTTTCCTTTGTCAGCCTAGATTTCAGCTTCTTGACTTCACTTGTCCATTGATTTTTCTATTTCTTAAAATGTTGTTGCATTTTTCTTCTTTCTTTTTCCTTTCTTTCTTTTCCTCACATTTCTGTTGATGAGTAGGATTTTCATTCCTCATAATGTTCTTCATAGGTACTGGTCTCAATAAAACAGATTGGGAAGTGTTCCTTTATCAGTTGTTCGTGGGTATTTGACAAAATTCCACCTCTGAAGCTAACTAATCTTGAAGTTTTCTTTATGGGCAACTTTTTCACTATAGATTCAAATTCTTTAGTAGATACAAGGACAACTCAGATTGTCTAATTTTGGTTGATAGTATTTCCTAAGACTTTGTCTATTTCTAAAGTTTGGAATGTACTGGCATAAAGTTTTAATATTCCTCTTAACTTTTTAACACCCGTAACATCTTTAATATCCCCTCCCTTTTCATTTATGTATTTATGTATGTATGTATTTATTTATTTTAAAGATTTTATTTATTCATGAGAGACACAGAGAGAGAGAGAGGCAGAAACATAGGCAGAGGGAGAAGCAGGCTCCCCACAGTGAACCCCATGCGGGACTCAATCCCAGGACCCTGAGATCACAGCTTGAGCCAAAGGCTCAACCATTGAGCCACCCAGGCTCCCCTCCCCTTTCATTTATGATAGTTGTCATTGTGCCATCTCTTTTTCTTGATTAGTCTGACCAGAGGATTTTCACTTGTGTTAATCTTTCAAGAACCAGTTTTGACTGTTGATCTCCTATGTTATGTATGTGCTCTCTATTTTATTTTCCTCTTTCTACTTTTCACCGAAATTCATTTGCATTTCCCTTTCTAATTTCTTAAGGTGGAAACTTAGTGCATTGATTTTTTTTCTCCCAGCCTCTTTTCTTTTCTAATATGTATTTCAGGGAGTAAATTTCCTTCTAAACCTGGCTTTAACTGTGTCTGAAAAGTTTTGTGGGACACCTGGGTGGCTCAGTGGTTGAACATCTGAACATCTTCAGCTCAGGGTGTAATTCCAGGGTCTGGGATGAAGACCCATATCAGGTTCCTTGCAGGGAGCCTGTTCTCCCTCTGCCTATGTCTCTGCCTCTTTTTCTGTGACTCTCCTGAATAAATAAATAAAAATCCTTAAAAAATAAAAATAAAAAGTTTTATTATGTTGTAATTTCATTATCTTTCATGTGATTTCTTCACCTGTGTGTTATTTAGAATTTTGTGTTTATTTCCAAATATATGGAGCTTTTTTGGTTCCATTTTTGTCATTGATTTCTAACTTTTCTAACTTAATTTACATAATGTTCAGAGATGACATTCTGAGTTAACCTTTTAATATTTGTTATTGAAACTTCCATTATGGTCCAGCATATTTGTGGTCCACTTTATTTACAAATATTTCATATGTTGAAGAGAGTGCTGTTCTATAGTCATTGAGTGCATTTCTCTAAATATCAATTAGGTCAGATATGTTAATCATGTTCAAATCTTTGGCATCTTTAATTTTTTTATATGATTATTTTCTCAATTACTGAGAGTTGTGTTAAGAATCACATAGTTGTGCATTTGTCTGTTTCTCATTTTACTTCCACTAATTTTTGTCTTATTTATGAGGTGATAAAAATATAGACCTATTATCTTTCTGTTGAATTGAGCCTTTTTTATTAACTGGAATTGTATGTTCTTTTAGCTTGTAATTTCTTTTTCCTTTCTATGTGAAGTATTAAAAAGTAAATCAACTTTCTTTTGGTTAGTGTTTGCATAATGTATCTTTTCCATCATTGTACTTCAATTTTTTATATTCTTATATTTTAAAGGAGTATGTATATCATTTTCCAGTTTGACACCCTGCATTTTACATGGAGAATCGACTATATTTACATTTAACACGATTTCTGATATATTTGGGTTTAAATTTATCCATTTTACTATTTGCTTTCTATTTGTCCCATTTGTTCTTTACTCTTTTTTGCCTTTTGATTTTTTTTCCTGTTATTTATATGCTCCTTTACTAGGATGATTACAAAAGACATCCGTATGTTTCTCATTTTCTGTCCTTGTGGCTTTGTGTCATTTTAGAAACCTCTTTACCATCAATAGGGAAATTGTTAAATAAGTATAGTACATCCATTCAGTATTGAAGACTTTTTTTTTAAGATTGTATTTTTAAGTAATCTCTACACCCAAAGTAAGGTTCGAACCCACAACCCTGAGATCAAGAGTCACATGCTCCACCAACTGAGCCAACCAGGTGCCCCAAGAAGACATTTTTAAGTAAAAACAAAGCAATTTTCAGAATAGTGTGTGTTGTGTCTAAAAGAAAAGGTTTAGGATAGGCATTTTAACTTTTGTATATGTAAAGAAACTTCAGAGAGGAATACACAGAAAGCTGAGAACAGTGGATTCCTGTTTAGTAGTGGTAATGGGAAGTGAAAGGGGATTCAGGATCTCTGACTATACCTTTACATAATTTTGAAAATTTCTGAACCATGTATATGTATTAATAAAAAATCAGATTAGGAAACAGGAATAATTTTGGGAGATATCAAAGAGTTTAGTTTAATGCCTATGCTTGATTTGTCATTTTTAACCAGAAGTTTTTAAATTGTATATTTCATAAAGATTACTTGATAGTCATGTGTAATATAGGAAATATTTCTGTTCATCTCTATTTTATGTCTTTTTCTAAATGTCATAGTAATATACACTCTTTAGTTTTTATCATGATGGTACATATTACTCATGAAAACCCAAATTACTTTGTCCTTGAGAAAAGTTGTAACCTTATACTTCCAAAGGTAATTTTTGCTCTATAAAAAAAAGTGTAAAGAATATCATATATGTAAACATTCAATTGAAAACAAAATGAGGAAACTTCTTTCTTATCAATAGCCCCAAAACATAACCAGTACCCTGCTGAAAGAAAGCTAAACTTAGGGACCATATGACATTTTATGCTTTTGCTTTGTGTAATTCATTGTTGTAGTATCCTTGAATTTAAGAAGGATCTGTATGAGCGTGAGATAAGGAGAGAAAATACTTTTCTTAATCATTGAATTTAGTTACTTTATTCTAAAGAATATCCTAGGGCAATTTGTATTACAAGAGTTCAGTAAAATTCAATTTGATGCTTTAAGAAATTAAACCATCAGTTTGTCTTAATACATGCAGGTAGGATAGCTTCATTGGGTTTGTTTATTTGTTTCTTTGTTTGCAAAAGGATGTGAATTCAGGTGACTATAAAGGAAAAGAATATTAACTTTTTTTCTTTGAATTTGGTAGGTTTGAGAAATTTCTGTGGTTCATTAGCTCAGAGAACTATCTAATAATAGGTGGACGAGATCAACAACAAAATGAAATAATTGTGAAAAGATACTTGACAACAGGTAAGATTAAAATTTTAAAGAATTTTCTCATAAGTAATTGGATCGGTTATCTCAATATGAGATATGGATTTTCATCTTATACTCCTTTGACAGTTTTAATTGGTAGAAAGAGTTTCATCTTGATGGTTTATGGTTTGTTGAATTTGTGCTTTGACGCTTAATTCTCATTTTAAGTGAACAGTCCTAAAATAGTACTGCTGAACTAATCTGTGGTATTAGACTTTTGAGTCTCTGCTACATTAACAAAATAGCTTTCAATCTTCCAAAGTCATTGTACCTAAAATTTTAAAGGCTTAATTTTTTAGTGCTGAAGTTTTAAACTTTTTTTTTTTTCACATTTAGAAATAGGACCTAAGCCCTTTGATGTAAGACTTATCATTTATTTTTGTTTGCTGATAACTACTACCTCATTGTGGTTGAACCCTCAGTGTGGGTATCTGAAATCAGTAGTCAGAGCTAATTTGAATCTGCTGAACATCCCAAACCAGGAAGGAAGCAACAGGTATCCAGTTATTACATGGTGCTCAGAGCTTGGTCTCCTGTCTTCTGTAGCACTGTTCATTGTGAGCTGAGCCTTTCTTGGCAGTATGAGTTTTTCTCTTTTTTGAGTTTCAAACCCCATACAAACTGTCATGGCAAGCAATGGCTGCTCATTTTACCTGTTAGGAATCATGTACTTTACTTTTCCCTTAAAAAAAGAGGAAAGATCTCACTTCTGCATTTGTTTGTTCATTAGGTTATTCTTTGGTATCACACACTTAGAATATAACTCGAAGCTCTCATTGTGGCTTACAAGCCTCTTGGCTTCTCTTCTAGCCTAATTTCTTAACAGTCTTCCCTTCTGACTGCTTCTCTTCATACATGTCAAACATCCCTGGTCCTCAGGACCTTTACATTTTCTAGGATGACTCCTCTGTTCCATGTGTCTTTCACCCTCCAGCAGAAAGGCCTAGACTGGTTTACATGGTAACTCAGCAAGTTTCAGAGAAAGAGAAGAAGCACACAGGACTATAAAGACCTAGGCTGAGAACTGGCATTTGGTCACAGCTGCTACATTGTGGCCAAGGCAGGTCATGGTGCAGGCTCAGATTCAATGGATGGGAAAATGACTCCACCTCTTGAAGAGAAGCTTCAGGCTCATAGAGCAAAGAAGTGTGGATAACAAGGAAGAGAGGAACTGATCATTTTTGTAATCTACCATATTAGCATGGCTTTCTTATACAGAAACCCGTAAGAGCTCTCCTAGGGGTAGGAAATGGACTTTCACTTATGCCTTCTTATACTCTTTGGATTTTGAATCCATAAAATCCATTAAAAAAAAAGAAAGAAACATGGCTGAAAGCATTATTTCTCATTTGTCTTTAAGGGGACATTTATGTACATGCTGATCTTCATGGAGCTACTAGCTGTGTAATTAAGAATCCAACAGGTAATATATTTCTCTTTACTATTCAGAACTTTAATTCCTTAATTTAAAATATTTTTAGTATAAGAAAAAAATTGCTAATAGAGATAAAGGACAATTTATAATGATAAAAGGGTCAATTCATCAATAAGATATAACTATTATAAACATATATGCAACCAACAATAGAGCCCTAGAAGTAGCCATGAAACAAAATCTGATAGAATTGAGGGGAGAAATAGTTCAACAGTAATAATTCAAGACTTTGATACTTAACTTTTAATCATGGATAGAATAACTAGATACAAGATCAACAAGGAAATAGAAGATTCAGACAACACTATAGATTAACTAGACCTAACACATATCACTGGTATCCTTCCCTAACAAAAATAGACTTACTCATTCTTCTCAAGTGCATCTGGTGTGTTTCCTAGGCTAGACCATGTAATAGTTTATAAGACAAGTCTTAATAAATTTAAAGCTACTGAAATCACACAAAGTAAGCTTTCTGACCATAATGGAGTGCATTTAGAAACCACTAATAGATGAAAACTTCAAAAATTCAAAAAAAAAAAAAATTCACAGATATATGGAAATGTTAAAGTGGCTTCTTTAACTGAAGAAGGAACTTTTCCCTGTGATAAAAATTAGATCTGTAGTCTATATCTGGAGCATTTATTAAATACCTTAGGAAGTCGCATTTGCTAAAGAGAAAAAAGATTGTGAGGGCATGCTATACATATAGTTGTATTGCAACAAATTAAATGACCTAGATAAGACAGGTTCATTCCTAGAAAGACACAAACTACCAAAACTGACTCAAGGATAAATAGAAAATCGAAACAAACCTATAACAAGTATTACTTTTCAAAAGAGTAATAATAAAAAAAACAACAAATTCAAAACAAAAAACTTGCTCACAAAGAAAATTCTAGGCCCAGATAGCTTCACTGGTGAATTCTACCAAACTTTTAAAGAAGATTGAACACAAATCCTTCACAAACTCTTCCAAAAAATAGAAGAGATGGGAAAACTTCCTAATTCATTCTATAAGGCCAGTTTTACTCTAATAACAAAACGAGACAAAGACATCACAAGAATTGAAAACTATAGACCAATATTGCTTATGAATAGACACAAAAATCCTCCACAAAATATTAGAAAGCCAAATCCAGCAGTATATTAAAAGGATTGTACACCATGACAAAGTGGGATTTATCCCAGGAATGCAAGGTTAGTTTAATATATGAAAATTAATCAATATAATAGAGCGTATTAATAGAGCAAAGGACAAAAATCACATGATCATCTCAACTGACGCAGAAAAGGCCTTTGGCAAAAATCCAGCATCAATTTGTGATATAGAAGGGATCTTTCTCAATTTGGTAAAGAGCATTTATGAAAAACCCACAGCTGTTATCAAACTTAATAGTGAAAGACTGAAAACTTTCCCCTTAAACTCAGGAACAAGATAAACATGTCTGTTTGTTGTTTTTTTTTTATATATATATTTTTTAATTTTTATTTATTTATGATAGTCACACACAGAGAGAGAGAGGCAGAGACACAGGCAGAGGGAGAAGCAGGCTCCATGCACCGGGAGCCCGACGTGGGATTCGATCCCGGGTCTCCAGGATCGCGCCCTGGGCCACAGGCAGGCGCTAAACCGCTGTGCCACCCAGGGATCCCAACATGTCTGTTGTTGTCATTTCTTTTCAACCTTTTATGGAGGTTCTAAATAGGCCGTTAGGCAATAAAAAGAAATAAAATATATCTACATTGGTAAAGAACAAGTAAAACTATCTCCATTTTCAGGTGACTTGGATCTTATATATTTAAAACCTCAAGAAACCCACCAAAAATTATTAGTTAATAAACAAGTTTAGAATGTTTGGGATATAAGGTCAACATATAAAAGTCAGTTGTATTTCTTTTTTTTTAAATTTATTTGAGAGAGGGAGAGTGTGCACACACATGAGTGGGAGGAGGAGCAGAGTGAGAGAATCTTCAAGCAGAGTCCCTGCTGAGTACAGAGCTGAATGGAGGGCTTGATTTCACAACCCAGGAGATTATGATCTGAGCCGGAACCAAGAGTTAGATGCTTAACCAACTGAGCCACATAGGTGCCTCAAGTCAATTGTATTTCTGTACACTCACAGTGAACAGTACTAATGTAAACCAATAAAACATTCATTTATAATAGCATTAAAAAGAATAAAATACTTAAATTTACCAAAAAGAAATGTAAGACCTATACTCCAAACAAAAAACATCACTGAAAGAAATTTTAAAAGACTTAAATAAATGGAAAGACTTCTAGTGTTTATGGAAGTTTTAATGTTGTTCTAATGGCAGTACTTCCCATATTAATCTATAGGTTTGATGCAATTTCTCTCAAAATTCCAGATACTTTTTTTTTTTTTTTTTTTTTTTTTTGCAGAGATGGATAAGTTGATCCTAAAACTCACACAGAAATGCAGAGGACCTATGTTGACCAAATCATTTTTAAAAATGAAGAACTAAACAAAAATAAAAATTTTTAAAAATGAAAAACAAAATTATAGGACTTAAACTTCCTGATTTCAAAACCTACAAAGCAATAGTGATAAAGACAATGAAGTATTGTTATGAGGAGGGACAAATAGATCACTGAAGAGAATTGAGATTCCTCTTTTATAGTCTGTTGACTTTGAACAAGTGTATGAAAACCATTCAATGGGGATAGAATAATGTTATCAACAAATGGTGCTTGGACTACTAATATCCATGTACTAAAGAATAAAGTTAGACTCCTGCTTCACATCATTTATGAAAATTAACTCAAATGCATCAAAAACCTAAACTTAAAAGCTAAAACTATAAAACTGTTAGAAGAAAATAAGGCATACATTTCATAATGAATCATGAAATCATTTCTTAGACATCAAAAGCATAAACAAAGAAAAACAAGTAAATTGGACTTAACATAAAAAGCTTTTCTTCAAAGGACACTATCAAGAAAATGAAAAGACTACCCACAGAATGAGAGAAAATATTGGCAAATCATTTATCTGTTAAAAAACCAGTATCCAAAGAACTCTGAAGTCTGAACAATAGAAGGAAAAAAGACAAAAACAATTTAAAAATGACAAAGAGTTCAAATATATGTTTCTCCAAAGATACAAGAATGGCTAATAAGCGCATGGTAAGATCTTCAGCATCATTCATTAGGGAAATGCAAATAAAAATCACAATGAGATACAACTTCATACCCAATAGAATAGTTATAATGAAAAAATATACAAAACAAGTGTTGCTAAGAATGTAGAGATGGAACCCTTGTATACTGCTGGTAGAAATGGAAAGTGATGCAGCTGCTGTAGAATAGTGTTTGGTGGTTCCTCAAAAAGTTGAACATAGAATTTACCATGTGACCTAGCAATTCCACTCCTAGGTTGGTTTTTGTTTTGTTTTGTTTTAAGATTTTCTTTATTTATTCATGAGAGACATAGAGAGGCAAAGACACTAGCAGAGGGAGAATGGAATATCATTCAGTCTTAAAAAAGAGATGAAGTACAGGTAATTGCTCTAACAAGAAGCCAGACATTCATGATTTTGTTGATATGAAATTCCAAAGTAGGCAAATCCATAGAGACTGAGTATATTTGTGGTTATCAGGGACTGGAAAAGTGGGGAATGACTATTAACAGATACAGGATTTCTTTGAGGGATAAAAATGTTCCGGAGTTAGTGGTAATGGTTATATAGCTTTATGAATATACTAAAAACCACTGGATTATATACTTTAAATAGGTGAATTTTATGGTGTGTAAATTATATATCCCAATTAAAAGATATTTGAAATCTAACTATAGAGGGTCACCTGGGTAGCTCAGAGGTTCAGCATCTGCCTTCGGCTCAGGTTGTAATCCCGGGGTCTGGGATCAAGTCCTGCATCGGGCTCCTCATGGGGAGCCTGCTTCTCCCTTTGCTTATGTCTCTGCCTCTCCCTGTGTCTCTCATGAATAAATAAATAAAATGTTTTTAAAAAGGGGAAATCTAACTGTAGGGATATATTATTAATGTGCTTTTCATTTTGACAATTTAGGTGATCTTTAGTAATTCTGGAAGTCTTCAAACATTAAATAGATTTCTCTATATTATTCTTTCTGGAATGAAGTTAGAGTTATTGATGTAATAAGTGAGAGGGTCTTTCTTCTCTGACTTATTCACTTAGACTATTTAGAAGCCTGCTTTGTAAATATATTATTGTTTTTTTTTAATTTTTATTGGTGTTCAATTTACCAACATACAGAATAACACCCAGTGCTCATCCCGTCAAGCGTCCCCCTCAGTGCCCGTCACCCACTCACCCCCAACCCCCGCCCTCCTCCCCCTCCACCACCCCTAGTTCATTTCCCAGAGTTAGAAGTCTTTATGTTCTGTCTCCCTTTCTGATATTTCTCACACATTTCTTCTCCCTTCCCTTATATTCCCTTTCACTATTATTCATATTCCCCAAATGAATGAGAACATACACTGTTTGTCCTTCTCCGATTGACTTACTTCACTCAGCATAATACCCTCCAGTTCCATCCACGTTGAAGCAAATGGTGGGTATTTGTCGTTTCTAATGGCTGAGTAATATTCCATTGTATACATAAACCACATCTTTATCCATTCATCCTTCGATGGACACCGAGGCTCCCTCCACAGTTTAGCTATTGTGGACATGGCTGCTAGAAACATCGGGGTGCAGGTGTCCCGGCGTTTCATTGCATCTGAATCTTTGGGGTAAATCCCTAATAAATATATTATTGTTGTTTATTTTTTTATCTAATTTTATTTTAATGCTAGTATGGCTAAGATACAGTGGTATGTAGGTTTCAGGTGTACAATTCAATTAGTGATTCAACAGTTCTGTGTATTATTCATTGCTCATTAACATAAGTATACTCTTATCCTCTTCACCTATTTCACCCGTCCCTCTACCCAACTCCCCTCTGGTAACCATGTTTGTTCTCTATAGTTAAGAGTCTGTTTTTTGGTTTGTCTCCCTTTTTTCCTTTGTTCGTTTGTCTCTTTAAATTCCACGTCTGAGTAAAATCATATGGTATTTGTATTTCTCTGGCTTATTTTGCTTAGCATTATACTTTCTAGATCCATCCATGTTCTTGCAAATGGCAAGATTTCACTTTTTCATGACTGAATAATATTCCATTATGTATATATACATGACATCTTTGTCCATTCATCTATTGATGGACACTTGGGCTGCTTCCATAATTTGACTATTATAAATAATGCTACAGAAACCTGGGGGGCATATATCCTTCTGAATTAGTGTTTTCATTTTCTTTGGGTAAATACCTAGTGGTATGATTACTAGTTCATAGGTTAGTTTTATTTTTAGTTTTTTTGAGGGACCTCCCTACTGTTTCCCACAGTAGCTGCACTAGTTTGCATTCCCACCAACAAAGTGGAGGAGTTCTTTTTCTCCACATCCTCACCAACACTTATTTCTTGTGGTTTTGATTTTAGCCATTCTCACAGGTGTGAGTGGTACTTCATTGTGGTTTGGTTTACATTTCCCTGATGGTGAATGATGTTGTAAACACATTGTTAATAAAAAAAAAATAGTAACTGGGCAGCCCTGGTGGTTCAGTGGTTTAGCGCCACCTTCAGCCCAGGGCCTGGTCCTGGAGACCCAGGATCGAGTCCCACGTCAGGCTCCCTGCATGGAGCCTGCTTCTCCCTATGCCTGTGTCTCTGCCTCTCTCTCTCTGTCTCTCTGTCTCTCATGAATAAATAAATAAATAATCTTTTAAAAAATAAAATTAAAAATAATAAAATTAAAAATAGTAACTATGTAATACTGAAATTAAAATGTGGTATCAGTGTTCAATTTGTAAGAGGATCAGATCTGTCATGCTGCATGTGATTTTCATATCTTGCTCTGTAGAAAGTCTATACTTGGGTACTGAAGCATTGTAATGTTTTTACAGGAGAACCCATTCCCCCTCGGACCTTGACAGAAGCAGGCACAATGGCACTTTGCTACAGTGCTGCTTGGGATGCACGAGTCATCACCAGTGCTTGGTGGGTGTACCATCATCAGGTAATAAGGGCTGTCATCCCTTTTCTTAATTTATTAAGAGCTGTTGTGTACTGGGTACCTGGGTGGCTTAGTAGGTTAAGCGTCTGACTCTTGATCTCTGACTCTTGATCTCTGCACAGGTCTTGATCTCAGGGTTGTGGGTTCAGGCCCCACATTGGGCTCCCAAAAAATAAGAAATAAAAGAGCTATTGTGTACAAAATTTTGAGGATATAGATGTGAACAAGGCAAAGTACCTACTTTGATTGAGCTAACATTTTGATAGTGGAGAAAAATACCTTCTGGTAACAAGCACTGTAAATTTTTTTCTTTAAAGCAGAGTAGGCAGTAGAGAGTGATAGGGGCTACTATTTTGAATGAAGTATCACAAGAGGCCTTTCTAGGAAGGTAAGATTTGAGCAGATACCTAAATGAAGAGAGCGAATAATCATGCAGTTACACAAGATGACCAGTGTTCCAATTATGACTGGCATACTCTCCTAAAAGATCTTTCTCCTCTTCATCTTTGTTGGAATTTTCTGATCTGACTTTAACCCTTCCTGGAAAATAGCTATATCTGGTGTTTTTTTTTTATTCACTTGGTTTTAGTAATTATCCTTCTTTGTGGTTAATGCTATTTTACTTGATGACAATTCACTCCACACTTCACTCCTTTTACAAGGCCCCTAAAGCTATGCAGCAAGATAAAGAATTCAATACATTATCCTCCCTTAGGTTCATTTTACATCTATTTATATGCATTATTTTCTGCTGTGCTGTGATAATGTATTTTCAGGAAATTAATATCATTTCTGAGATTATATTTTTTGCCTCAGTACTATTATAAATGTGGTTTTAATTCTTTTATTGAATAGGTTTTTTAAGAGTGAAATTAGTGTGCTTTTACTCCCTCCAGTAACTATAACAAAGGTACTCTCAGATTTGGGAGTTCCACAGATAACATAAAATATTAAAATACTGGCAATTATCTTATTTTGCCAAATTAGAATATATTTTTAAAAATCTACTGTCTTCTTTATTTCCTAAAATGGAAGATTATTTACTGCCCCCAAAAATAGTATCTCAGGAAAGGATTTTATTTAATAGATATAGTTTTAGGAAATATAGCTTTATGATATAAGCTTATTAAACTACCCTTCTTTTTCTCATTACATCTCAAACCAGAGGAAACATGTAGACAAATTCTGACTCTAATCCATTGCATTTGAAAACTTTTGGTGTAGTGTATCCATTATTTCTTTTGTTACTGCCAAAGGTATACCTGCCTTTGAAAAGATATTTCAGCATTGAGAATTTCTACTAAATTACAAACTTTTTAAGAGACAGTACAGTTTATTTGAATATGATTTGACTTTCTTAAATGAAAATTTTAAAAACATATTTCTTAAGACAGTAGTATAATGTGGTATTGTGTTCTTCAGGTGTCTAAAACAGCACCAACTGGAGAATATTTGACAACAGGAAGCTTCATGATAAGAGGTAATGGCTTGTTGGTAGATTATGGAGACATTACTAATATTTTCAAGAATGGAAGCTATTCTGATTTCATATATGAAATAAGGAATCTTTTGCACTTCTGTGGTAAATTTATCATTTGTCATGTCTTCTCCATATGTATTTTTCTTGATGAGAATGTTCTTTCACATAAAGTTATAAGGGTAAGAATTTATAGCATGACCTTTTTTCTAAAAATAGATTATATTCAGGGCTTTATTAATCTAAAGATGAGAGCAAATATTCATATTTTTTCTTGTTTAATTCCTGTTCCTATACATAATGCCAAATTCTGTGAATGGGAAATGTTCCTTCATTACAGAGAAATGACAAAATAATATAACCACTGGTGTCAGATAATTTGCAAGCATAAAATGGAAAAAATGAATTTTTAACATTTCTGTTTATTATCTTTTATAGGAAAAAAGAATTTCCTTCCTCCCTCATATCTAATGATGGGATTTAGTTTCCTCTTTAAGGTATTCTTCAGCTTCTTTGTTATTTTTTTCTGATTTTCATTAGTCTTCTCTAAAGTTCCATCAGTGAAAAAGAACTATTTCCATAGGTAGACGAGTCCTGCATTTGGAGACATCGGGGTGAACGAAAAGTCAGAGTGCAGGATGAAGACATGGAAACACTGGCAAGTTGCACAAGTGAACTCATATCGGAAGAAATGGAACAACTAGGTAGTTTACAGATTTTAATAAAGTAGCTTATAGTGTTTCCTTTTGTCTAGTTTATCTTCTAAATTTTTTTTTTAAGATTTTTTTTTATTATTTATTCATGATAGTCATAGAGAGAGGAGTGAGAGGCAGAGACACACAGGCAGAGGGAGAAGCGGGCTCCATGCCGGGAGCCTGATGTGGGACTCGATCCCGGGACTCCGGGATCGCGCCCTGGGCCAAAGGCAGGCGCTAAACCGCTGAGCCACCCAGGGATCCCTATCTTCTAAATTTTTAAAAGATTGTATCTACTTTGGGGTAATTGAAATTTCAAAACAACACTTGCTGTCAGTTTTACTTAATATTGTTTTTGGAAGTGTCAAATGAATTATAAAGTACTTAATTGGATCTGTAACTAATGTACTATATAAGCATATATAGTAAAACCTTGGTATTTAATGGGTCAAATGTAAATGTGTTCAGCAGAAATAGACTCGGGTTTTTACAAATCAGCATTTAATTTTAGATTTAAGAAATAGAAGTGATACAAAGATGAGTTTATAACAAGTGTAATTTCTCATATGAGAATTTTCCTTGATTTAATAATATACTTGGTTTAAGTGGAAAGGAACTGTGGTTGCTGGAATAAATTTACCCACCTACCTAAAAGAACTAGGGAAAGTATGCCCTCTATATTATTTTTACAGTTATTCTCCTGGAGGTCATTGCTTTTTAGGACTAATACTGCATTATTTCATTTATGGCTACTGTTGCATTACCAGACTTTTATTATTATTATTATTTTTACCATGTTCCCAATACTGTACAAAATTCTCTACATTATTTTTAATGGAATTCTCACAACCATTTTTGTCAGATAGTGATGGCATCTACTTTTATAGGTGAGGCAGCTAGGTAATATTATTACTACTAAAAAGTGTTTCTTTTGCAAAAATGTGAATACCTTCTGTGTGCCAGTTATATTACATGTATTGTCTCGTTTCACTATACATGTGCAAGTTACAATAACAGCAGAACTTATGGAATTAATTCTCTTGTCCTCCTTTTTGGAAATACCTAACCAAGACAAGTTTTCACTGTAGCAGTGGTTGCAATGTCCAAGAAATTTATTGTGGTAAAGTATCTTGGAGAACATTTATTCCAAACAGTTTATGATACAAAAGTATCCTTTTGTCTGAGTACTCTTTGAGGATGATCAGCTCTGTGTGTGTGTGTGTATGTGTGTGTGTGTGTTTCTGTGAAAGAGAGAGAGAGAGTGATCTTTTGGAGAAACAGAGTCAACAGAATGTTTTTTGGAAGTTTTCAAGATAATCATCTAGCTTTGTTACAGTGGTATTGTTCTGACTTTCTTTTCGATACTTCTACAGATGGAGGTGACAGTAGCAGTGAGGAAGATAAAGAGGAATCACATGAAACTCCTGTGGAAGTGGAACTCATGACTCAGGTTGACCAAGAGGATATTACTATTCAGAGTGGTGGAGATGAACTAAATGATGAACTAATTCAGGAAGAAAGCTCTGAAGATGAAGGAGAATCTGAAGATGTGGTAAAAGATCAGGAACCTATTGGTGAAATGAAGGATGAAGGGGAAGAAACATTAAATTATCCTGATACTACCATTGACTTGTCCCACCTTCAATCCCAAAGGTAATTAAAAACTATCATTTTATAGCTGGTAGTGATGGAAGAATTAATCCTTCCAAAATAATACCAAAATTGACTTTAATACTTTCACCCTCTGTAGTTCTACAGTCTTATTATCTTTTCACCATTTTATGGGAGGGGCAGGTAGATCTCTCTAAAGAAATTTCCAGGACCCACGGTAGAAAAATATAGTAAACATAAAAGTGTTAAACATAAAACATAAAAGTAAACATAAAAGTGGGGGCACTTGGGTGGCTCAGTGGTTGAGCATCTGCCTTTGGCTCAGGTCGTGATCCTGGGGTCCCAAGATCGAGTCCCACATCAGGCTCCCTGCAGGGAACCTGCTTTTCCCTCTGCCTGTGTCTCTGACTCTCCCTGTGTGTCTCTCATGAATAAATAAATAAAATCTTTAAAAACAAACAAAAACATAAAAGTGGCCAAAGTAGGTCAAAACAGAAATAAGTACATGACTCTAAATGCCAATAATGTAAGAGAGGCAATTCCACTAAAAAAATTTAAGTGTTTTAATCTTTAAAGTCTTACCAATCACCAAGTAAACAATATCATACTTTTAAAAGCTTTATCACTGGAATAGTTAAAATAGCTTAGAAGTCAGACCAGAATTGAGTCTTAGGGTGTCCTTGGGCAAGTCACTCTGTGTCTGAGCTTCAGTTTCTTTCTCTGTGAAAATGGAATGTTAACCCCCTTCATAGGGTTTTGGTGAAGATTATACATATATAAAGCACCTGGCAGTGTCTGGCACATAGGTGTTTAGTACATGTCCACTCTATATGGATATATTTAAAAGTATGAGGTGAGCAATATGATTTTTAAAGATTTTATCAGTATTTGAAAATTTGTAGACTGCCAATTAAGTAATTAAGGATATGATATGGCAATGTGGACTTTGTAAATGAGTCCCTTTTACAGGCTAGTAGATGTCTCTCTCTGTTTCTTTTCATAGGTCCCTCCAGAAATTGGCTTCAAAAGAGGAATCTTCTAATATGGTAAGCTATTTTCAAAGTTTTGTGAAGAACATCATGTCTTTCTCAATGAATCATTTTTCTACTTTTAATTTTACTTTCTGAAAAATTAATAGTAGTGATGTTATTGTTTGTATTTGCTTGTGTTTTTTTTTTGTTTTAATTTTAATAGAGTGACAGTAAATTACAGAGCCGGAGACATTTGTCGGCCAAGGAAAGAAGGTAAACATATTTGTGTTATCTAACTGGAAAGCATGTAAATTTTTTTTTTTTTTTTTTTTTTTTTTTTGGTTAGTGATGATTCAGTTATGACAGATGACTTGGCTGTTCTAAAGACCTCCCTTATTAAAATGACCAATATTTAGCGTAAATCTTGTTTAGTTCTTAAAATTCAACTCTAATAGGTCTTTCTGTTTTAGGACCCTAGTCTGTCACTACAGTCAATGAGATAGGTCAAGTAACATGAGACAGACCATTTGTTAGATAAATAAGTGCATTAGGGATTGCAGTACATTAAGTAGGCTGGTTCTAGGATAATATTGGCAGGAATAAACAGAATACTTGAAAAAAAAAATAGGAGAATACTTTTTACTATAACATAGCAGGCCTCAGGAGGCAAACATAAAGGCAGAAGCTGAAGGAAAGGGACAAGTGAGACAACCAGTAAAGGATAAAATAGGCTATAAAGCTAGTAAAGGAGTCTAGGAAGAAACTCTAGAGTGGAATGGACAATAAACCCTTTTATTTGAGAAAGATAGTCATTAAACATTTTCAGCAAACTCTCTTAAGGACATGAAACTGTGCTAGATACTGAATATACAAAGAGGTAAGATACAATAAAGTCTGTGCTTTTTAAAGGAGTTTTTGAGTCCTGGATTTAGGAAAGAGCCAAACAGAATGGATACAGTAGTTCAGGAGTAAGAAATTGCTGTGATTTCAGGTGTTTTGAGAAATACCATCAGAAGTATACTTTACAGATATATTAGGACTTAGGTCAATGAAGATAAGGTCAAAGGTTCCAAGGAGAATTAGCATGAACAAAGCAGGGCAGGGATTTGGAAGTAATATGCATAGTGTTTTGGGGAAATGAGAAGTAGAATGAGGTGAAAGAAACAAAAAGTTCATGTTTGTGAACTGGTAAATGTTAAGATTGGGAAAGTGAACTTGGACCAAAAGAGAAGTGATTAGAATGATAAGCTAAGTATTTTAGGACTTTATCCTGAAAGTGATGTGAGGAGCACTTTTAGAAGAATTTTAAATGGGAACGTAAGATAGGTAAACAATTACGGAAGATTAATCTAGATGTTCATGTAGAACAGTTTCTGGGGAAATACAGGAGGAAGGTCTGGGTAATAAGTGATGAGGACCAGGGCTAGGGCAGTGGCACTGAGAATAGAAGAGACTGCACATAAAAAATACCACCCACCGTAATAGGGTTTCCCCCTGTCCTTAATCTGTGTATCTTTATCCATTTATTTATTCAGCTAACCTGTCAACATTTTATTGAATACCTAAGATCTGCCAAGGCCATGCTGATACAAAGACTACAAATCCCAGTGCCTGGCCATCAAGGTGTCGAGGCTACTGAGTAAGGATAAGTCAGGGGTTGACAGAATGTTAAGCCTGGATGACAGAAAGAATGATAAATCCACGTGAGAAGAGTTTGCAGCTTTTACCTATATGCTGATTTGTGCTTTTATACTGTAGCCTGGTGATTATGAAGTTAAGCAGAAGCCATGATCTTTTACATATTGTAAATGTTCCCCTTATCATGTAATATTTTAGGGCACTAAGAATTAGATGTTCCCATTTCATTTCTATTTAGGGAAATGAAGAAGAAAAAGCTTCCAAGTGACTCAGGGGATTTAGAAGTGATAGAGGGAAAGGACAAAGAAAAAGAAAATACTCTACACATTGATACTCATCAGAACACAAGCAAAAGTATCCCAGCTGTGCAGCCAATGAAACGAGGACAAAAGGTAATAAAACTTCAAGGTGAACTGTTAAGTTAGTACTCTTTAGCTCACAAATGAAGTTGTGAGGTTCTTAATTTTTTAAAGTGAAACAAAAGATGTAGACAAAAAAATAATCCTATGTGGAACATAGAGATCAGTGTTGTGTCCCTTTAAGATCATCTAGGTAGAAGCTCTCATTTTACATAGAAGAGGAATTAGAAGTATAGATTTTTAGAAGTCTGAATTATTAATCATTTATAGTTAGGAGTTCTTGTGTCCTGTTTAAAGAAATCTTCAATAGTTTATAAATTCGTTACCTGGGCCCCAGCTAAGATTAATAAAGACAAAAATCTTTGGAGGGGAGGCCTAGAGGTCTATAGTTTTAAAAATTATTAGGTAATTTGGATATGTAGCTCACCAGTTTAGTTGACAAAATGCAAAGTCTTAAAAGCCTTTTTCCAGCTTAGCTTTTGCTGTCTTGTTTCCTGTTTTTCCTCTATATATAGATCCTGACTTCAACCAAACGCAGGGACTTGCTGTTATTATGCTGTCCTGTCTTTGCCTTACAATCCTGTTTTTCCTATATTCCCTGATAGTATAAAATTTACTTATTTTAAGACTTTCAAGTTGTACTTTATTTCTTCCCCACAGTTCTTGCTTAAGCTGAATGAAGTATCTGAATTATCTTCGAAATGTTTGCATTTAGAGTATGTTACGTTAATTTATCCTTATTCTTACAGGTGTCTTCTTTTTCTACCAGATGGTAAATTCTTTGAGGCTGAGGATTATAGTTTATTCATCATTTTAGTTTCCATATTGTTTATTATAATGGTACCATCTCAGTAAGCATAGGAATACTTTTTCTTTACAAACGTTGACATTTTTTAACTGCTGATTTTTTCCAATGAAAATCTTTTGATTTTGTAGAGTAAGATGAAAAAAATGAAGGAAAAATATAAAGACCAAGATGAAGAAGAACGCGAACTCATCATGAAATTGCTAGGGGTAAGCAACATCTAAAAAAAATCTTTTGCTTTTTTTTTTTTTTCTTAAAAAGATTTTTTTCATTTATTCACGAGAGACACATAGAGGCAGAGACACAGGCAGAGGGAGAAGCAGGCTCCATGCAGGGAGCCTCATGTGGGACTGATCCCAGAACTCCAGGATTACGCCCTGGGCTGAAGGCAGGTGCCAAACCACTGAACCACCCAGGGATCCCCTTCTTTTGCTTTTTGAGGGGCATCCAGACTATTGTCTATTATATGCTAGGATTTAATACATTTTTGTTAAAATATTGACAATATTGGACAAGTTGACATCATTTTACCTTTATGAATTAAAGTCTGCAGGTTCAAACAAAGAAGAAAAAGGGAAGAAGGGGAAGAAAGGAAAAACAAAGGATGAACCTGTGAAGAAACAGCCCCAGAAACCTAGAGGTGGACCAAGGGCCTCAGACAGCATAAAGAAAGAAACGCCTTCCCTTGAGGTTGTAACTCATGAGTTACAAGACTTGGCCGTAGATGATCCACACGATGACAAGGTAGGGCTACCACAGATATGGATGTAGGCTTTTGCTTCATTAATTAGGGTTCCCAAGACATGAGGCTTACAGTGCTAAAAGCAGGACAAGTGGTAACCTTATTCTTAATGGAGTCATCTTAGAAATACAACCTAAAAGACTAAATTTCCAGGATAGAAGTGTAAAAATGGCTGTGTTCATAGATGGTAAGTTTTTTACAAGCCTTTAGAAAATAATTTTATGGAGAGGTTTTATTTGATTCTAGTGGGAACTTAGTTATAAGACAATTCAGATTGTCTTAAAAATGAGTAGAAAGTAAATTTGCACTTCTCTAGAATTTTCTATAGGAATATGTGCTGTATTATGTTATATAAGGGCCTATTCAGTTCAAGTGGCCTTGTTGAAAAACCAGCGAGAAGTTAGCATTTATCCAGTTAAGATAGTTGCCTAATTATTGTATCAACTGAATACAAGCACAGCTCTTGGTATATCATCTTGAAATCCAAAGGAATTATTCATAAAATTGGAGAAAATTTGGCCTTACCTGTATTTTTATTTATAGCAGTTAAAGCTTTGGTTAGAATCCTGTGCTCTGTTCAGTGCAGGTAACGCTTATAGGGGTTCTCAATATGTTACTGTTTTCTTCTTTCCTTGAACAATGTTGTTGTTTTATAATATTACAACTCAAAAAAATGTTATGACTTATTTTGATCCTCAAATTTTTTTTAAAGATTTTATTTATTCATGAGAGAGAGAGAGAGAGGCAGAGAGAAAAGCAGGCCCCATGCAGAGAGCCCAATGTGGGACTCGATCCAGGGACTCCAGGATCACACCCTGAGCCAAAGGCAGATGCTCAACCCCTGAGCCATCCAGTCATCCCTGATCCTCAAATTTTTATACTATTCTCATATCTGTGATTTATTCTATAAATAGACTCAGATATTGAGGTGTTATGAATCATACATTAAAAATCTAGAGATAATCTAAGAAGAGCAAACAAAAGTAAACTTACCTTAATATGTGAAAAATTTATCCTAGAACTATTGAACAGAGACTAAAAAATAAAAGTTCTATTCACCAGGATTCTCCACTTTCCTTTGGCAAACATATCAAATTTAGCTGTCATTTTAAATTATCATTTTACATTGAAAATTGCCATTTTAATTTCCCTATTTTAGCATGTATACCATATGAAAGCTTTAGTTTTTAAACTTCAAATAAGTGCTTTTTCTCTTTGAATGGCATTATTCTCTAAAGTAGTAGATGCACAAATTAAGAGTTTTGGGACACTGAAGAACACAGTTTTGGGGTCCATAACCTGTGGGTTAGATGTGATAGTCTTATTTTTTTTCTCCTCATAGTTTTTAATCATGTGGAATTTCAATTTATGTTATATAGCTGACTTTTAAAATTTTGTTTCGAGCAGGAAGAGCAAGATCTGGATCAACAGGGTAATGAGGTATGATTTTGTGCTGGGGGTCCCTACTATGACACTGACTACAGTCTAGGTCTCAGAGTATTTGAGACACAATTTCTAACTACTTAAGACTTCTAAAACAAGATTATAGGCTCTGGAGTCCAACATTCTGGGTTTGAATCCCAACTTTGCTACATCTAACTGCAACCCTGAAGCATTATTTTTTGTGCTTCTGTTTCCTCATTGAGGAGTGGGGATGATTGGTCCCTACCAGGAGAGTGTTGTTTTGAGAATGTACATAAAGCATTTAGAAAAGTCCATGGCACATAGTAAACACTACTTCAGCACCAAGCATCTTGTCTGAGTTGTATTCATGTTGCTAAGACAGCTAATCTTGTAGGCAGCCCACCGAAGGGCAACTGTAAGAAGATACTTCCTGAAGAATAGGCAGATGTCTAGGGGAGGAGAGGCCTAAAAAATCCCCCTCATTGAGAACTGCTGGTCTAGCCAAAGTATCAGTCCTATTTCCAGGCAATGGAAATGTATTTGTGGTCATTATTGTACACCATTTTAATCCATAGTAGTTTTCTGCAATGAGAAATATCCAATTTTTTTTCTCCCTTTTCTTAAATGTATTTACAAATAATAATGTATTTTTTACAAATAATTTAATGTATTTTTGAAAGTCATTTTTATTTCTCATTATGGTGTACAAAATTATAGCAGTAAGGAATATAAACACCATTGGTCTTAAACTCTTTAGAGCTATAAATATAAAGCAGAGCTGAAAACTATAGGTCTATCAGAAAAAGATAAAAATATGTTGAGATATTAGATTTTTCCTTTTTTAGGACTGGTATGAATTTTCTAATTGTTTTTGTTTTTCCTTTTTTAGGAAAATCTCTTTGACTCTTTGACAGGGCAGCCACATCCTGAAGATGTATTACTGTTTGCCATTCCAATATGTGCCCCTTACACCACCATGACAAACTATAAGTAAGTCATCTGTAGTTTACAAAACCATTCATAAGTCACTATTGTGTCAAGTTTTGTTCAGTAACACATGCAATTCCTCTTTAAAGATACAAAGTGAAACTTACTCCTGGAGTTCAGAAAAAGGGAAAAGGTATTTAAAATTTTTAAATTATGATTTTGAACTTTTTTTTTACTGGACAGAAGTAGATTCTTCTATTTTCTATTTACAGCTGCAAAAACAGCCTTGAATAGTTTCATGCATTCCAAAGAAGCAACAGCAAGAGAAAAAGACTTATTTCGCAGTGTAAAGGTAAAGTATTTCTCTGGAAGTCTGTAGATCGGTGGTGTAGTTAAAAATGTTAGCAGTTGCAATTTTATACTTTCAGTTCTTTATTCAGTAGATGCATGCTGCAGCTATTATTTTGGTAGAAAATGTCTTACTAGAAGCAAGTGTAAAACAAGTAAAATCGTTTCAGTTGAAAATTTTGGAAATGCCTTTCTTTTGACAACAGAGGACACAAACTGTCATAAAAGATACATGACCACTACATAGAATGTGAAAATATTCAGCAATTCTCTTTTTTTAGGACACGGATTTATCAAGAAACATTCCTGGCAAAGTCAAAGTGTCTGCACCCAATCTTCTGAATGTAAAAAGGAAATAGCCGAAATGAAATCCTAAAATATTTGAGAAGAGCCAATTTTATAGCCTTTTGGAAGTTCAGAGATGAAAACACCATGTAACAAGACTTCCGCATTTAAAAATGAACTAAACATTGCCTTGCTATATTCGCCAAAAGGACTTCTTGCCCCCCCCCCCCCCCCCGGTTTTTTAGAGAGGAAACACTATGATAGGATTTCCTAAAATATTTGTGGACAGTTAAATGCTAATTGTATACATCTGTAGTTATTCTCCTACATTTTCTTGAACTTTGGGAGGTTAATACTAAGTTCTCATTTCATGTTGTAAAGAAACTGAACAGTGAAGTGGCTCAATTGCTTAGACTGTTGACTTGGTAGTCTACCGTATATAACGTCTAATATATCTCTTATGGGCCAGTCACAAGGTTTTTTTTTTTTCCCCAGTGTGGTGGGGTTGGGGGGTAGACATTTAGGATTAAGTCTTGGAAAGCTTCTGCCTTTACTTATACTTGTCAAAAATATATTAGACCAGATTTAAAATACATATAATTCAGCCTAAGAAAGAACACCTAGAAAAAATTGGTATTGATCATTTCCATGCATTTATACTTCACTTTCATCCTGATTTCTTCTGTGTAATCTCATTCAGTTCTGTATCATTTTATTTTCTACCTCTAGTAATTATCAGCATGTTACAGAGTATCTTAACCTAAGATATCATAAGTGCACTTTTTCAGGCTTATCACTAAAGACTCCTGACCCAGCTCCTCCTCTTCTATCTCCTAACAGAATGGAGAATTAAGTCATACATCAAATTCCATTCTTTTAAAATTTTTACTTCTTAAATGATTAGACGGTAGCTACCTATAGTCAATATGACCATTTGCCCTGCCCCTGTACCAAAGCATTAAGGTCAAAGTACTGAAGAGCTGGTGGTCCTTCCAAACTTAGTCCTATTGAAAATATTTTTCCATTTAAATGTAAAAAAAAAAAAAAAACTTTGTAATACAGCCTAGTGTTGTAAATACAATAGATTACTCTTGCCACTTAAAAAACTATTAACTTAAAAAGATAACATCACCATTTTGATAGTGGTAGGAATAATTATAATTAGTATAATGTTTCTACAGCTATATATCTGAAGTTACTAAAAAGGAAATATAATCATAACCATTCTTTAGGGTAAAAAGCCCAAATATTAGTTTTCTTTTGCTTTAACAGAAGACAGTTACTGGTGTTAAATACATTTATTGTAAACTTTAGACACAAAAATAGGTTCTCTAGGCCATTCACATGCACATTAAAACCAAAAAGCTGCAAACTACAACAATGCATATGATGATACAAACAATGCCACTCTCTGATGTTTACAGAATTGCTGTCCATGCAAGGTGATCAGAGGCATTATCTATGAAGCCTTAAGATCCAGAAGTGTTGTTACTACCAAACCTCTGATTAACACTGTGAAGTAAGTGTTTTGGAAGGCAGTTCCACGAGTTGGCTAACATTTCTTTAAAGCAAATGACTGCTTCTAAGCTTAGCCTGAAAGTGGAGGAGAAAAATAATTTGTTTTACTGTTTAGAAGCACATTAACTTGAAGAATTATAAACCCCCCCCCAAAAAAAAACAAACCCACTTTCTTTAAAGGTTTTAATAGAAACTGGTTAGTTATATCAATGAAAGCTTGTTAATTGCCCTTATCTATAAACCTGGTTTTTTGAAAGGATTAATTTAAAATGAAGTACCTAGTAAAAAGTTACTTACCTTACAAGAGATTTTGGTTGAACTGAAAATATAAGTATTTCGTTACTGTGTGCCTGAAAAATAGAGAAGAACACATTAAAAAGTAAGTACTCCACAAGTAAGTTTCAGAAATATTATAAAGTGTCCTTTAACATAAGGTGTAGTATACTTACAGCTCTGTGATGGACAAGAAGGTTGTTGGCGCACCCACCAAAAACAATTACTTCTCCTTCATCACTGGCACAAGCTGTATGCCATAATCTATATTTAAAATGAAAGCTTGAGTTTGAAGTTACCCAAACACCAAATTGACAATTTATACTAAAGAACCAGAATGATGAAATAAAGACTAGAGATCTTTAGTACAGACCAGAAACATGTTGAGAAGCAATTATCTTAAATAGCAAAAGCTAGGAAAAAAAAAAAAATCAATGTCTGTTTTATCTGGATGTTATCATTTTATCTCTCTGGTCCAGTCCTAATTTATGCAATGAGGGGTTTGAACTGGATCTGTTCTCTAGGTCTTTGTTAGCAATAAAAAAAAAATCTTATGGGAGATGTGTGGTATATGCCCTCTCGATCTTCTTTTCATAGTAGGGCCAGTTGACCTTATATAAAACATCTGAAGAATGCTGAATCTGCCTGAGATACTCAAAGTATCAGGCCTGGTAATTCTATGGAAAAAACTTGTGCCAAATGAAGCCTTTGTGCATAAGTGTACTTAAATTAGAAGCTTGGGGGAAAAAATGCAGGCTGACCTACTTAAATGTGCTGAATACCAGTTGTGACTATATCATATCCTTTAGCAATTTTTGTAACAATTCTTTTTGAGATTAACAAAAAGAACTTTTTTGGGGTGGTGGTGGTGATTTGACTTAATATTTGTTATACAGCACTACTGCAAATCTAATAGAAAGTTCTTGATTTAAGGTTTTGGAATTCTCTCCTTTCCATTACTTTTTTTTTTTTTTTTTTTTTTTTGAGAGAGAGAAAGAGCACATGAGTAGGGGGAGAAGATGATGAAGAGGGAGAGGCAGATTCCCTGTTGAGAGGGAGCCCAAGGAGGGGCTCCATCCCATGAACCCTGGCATCATGATCTGAGCTGAAGGTAGACACTTAAGACAGCCACCTAGGTGTCCCTCCAGTTATTTTAAATGACAAACCCAGAAGCAGTTCAATTCACTTGAGTAAAGACCTTGATTATAAATTTTAACATCAATTTTACGATAAAAGCTGCAGCAAAAGTCAAAGTCCAGCTCTGTTTTTTATGCACAGTGACAGGAAAGAAAGCATTCAATACTAGGATAACATTGGTTTTCTTTTCTTTCAAGAGGTATGATGTGAAACCTTAGTGAATGCTAGGATTTTTGTAAGAATGACAGATTTAATGCAGCCACAATTTCCTCTCATTACCAGTACTGTACATCTTTATGGCCCTCAATTATTCAGTACAGGAATTATTTTTTAAATAGTTCATACCTTGGTTTTTCAGTATAGGGATGATTAAACTGTATCCATTCATTTTTACTGATGCAGTAAGTCCAGGCATCACCTGATTGAAGCAAAGAAAGAAGAGCCATGAAATGAAGTATGTTATTTTGTCGATAGGACACTGATACTTAAAGGGCATAGCTTTAGCAAGAAAAGTAATAAATGAGACTGTGAGTACAAACAGGAAGTATATATCCTTTTTTTTTTTTTTCTCTGCAATTAACCAAGTAAGCCCTTTGCCTGTTACCGCCCTTCAAGTAGGGCTTTTAAGGGTTATACTGGACAGAATGGATATCCTAGTATAAAAACAATTAGAGGTTTGTTATGGAATCAAAATTAATAGCAAACCTTCCAACCAACCCTACAGCGCTCTGATACATCTAAAAGAGACTGATTTTTTTCTAGCTATTTATATATCACATATGAATGATATATAATGATTTATTACATTTTTTTAAAACTTACTTAGTGGCTGTTTATCAGTGGTAAATCCTCCAAAGAGAAAGAGATGATCTGAAGAAACTGGTGTTAGTGAGTGCCACGATCGGCCAACTGGGCATATGCCTTGTGGAATTCTAAAAAACAAACAAAAAAAAAACAGCTAAGTTACAATATCTGTGTTTATTTTATTTTTTTAAGATTTATTCATTCATTCATTCATTCATTCATTCATGAGAGACAGAGGGAGAAGCAGGCTCCATGCCAGGAGCCCGACGCGGGACCTGATCCCAGAACCCCAGGACTGCACCCTGGGCCAAAGGCAGTCGCCAAACTGCTGAGCCACCCAGGGATCCTCAACATCTGTGTTTAAAAGTAGCTACTGTTTAATACAGAAAAATGCTGAAGAAGTTTTAAAGTTAATATAGAATTATGAAAAAGACTTTAAATTTAAAAAAACTTCTTGGTATTAATAGCTACAAGCTTTAGAACTATGTTCTTAGAAGACGTTTCAACAAACACTTGAGCACAAGCTGGGTGCCAGATACAGTTCTGGGAAAAGGCAATAAAAAAAAAAAAAAAAACTCTAGGGATCTAGTCATCACATTTAATTTAAATTCTCAGTTATAGAAAATTTAAGCAAATACATTATATACTGATAACAAAATAAAAAAAACTAACAAAAATTATCTAAGTGATACATACAATTCATTCCACTCCCATGTATCCAGATTAAGATAGTGAAGATCATTCATTCTGGCATCCTGAAAAAGGGTAATTTTAAGTAATTATCATTTGAATGACTCAAAAGCAAGTCCTTGAAACTGTTCATACACTTACTCGGTATCTGCCTCCAAACACAAAGCCTTTGTTTCCAACAGTTGCACAGGCATGGGCAGCACGAGGTGAAGGTGCTTTACCCTATAGAAGTCATAAAAGCAATCTTTTAAAATAAATACCAGAGTCATCTCTGGGTATGGGATGAGGATATGCAAGACACCTGAGCTTTTAAGCTAAAGTGTGCAGATGTCTAGTCAACAGCAATATTAAAACTGGGAACTATAATTTTATATTTTTTAAGTGTATTACTGAATGTACTAGTTAATACAATGCTTCTTTTATTTTCATCTTTTAAAATAAAAGGTAGCGCATTTTGTGACACCTGTGTCAAAGAATAATCCAGTGCTAGGTCATTTATTTAGTTACAAACAGTAACACTTAACATCTATTAGATAACAGATGCTGGGTTAGTCCATACATTAAGTGTTTCTGAGGTATGGACTCCTTAGAGAATAATGACAGCAATGGATCTTCTCTCCAGAAAAATTAGTGATCTATCAGTTTTAACCACCTCCCAACTACCCTTCTCCAAGGAGCCTTGCTTTAATAATTCAGTATTCTTCAGTAACTCACAGTAGTGATAGGCTGACTCCAGATAAATGTTTCAGTGTCTAAAATATGTACATGATCATTCCATCCTCTTGGGTGACTGGAATTCTACGGAA